ACAAATGTGTGCCAATTTCCTGGCATATCAATGCTGCTGGGTGCTTTACATCATGGTCAGTGCGACTCACAATGACAGTTCTATTTTCACACACTTCAAAGGGTATAAATGAAGCAATACCCGCTCCCATAGCGGGCCTGTCACAAAGTACTTAACTTCAAATAGTAAGCTGTTTTCTCTTCAGTTACCACAGCTTTGGGAATTTTCTATACCTCCAATTTAAGAACCTGCTTTGGAGGGACTCTAGGATCTACATGTACTGGACATAGCCTATTTATTTTATATTGTTTCCCATTTTCTCCCTTATAGAAAATGATCACTTACTACCTAAAATGTGCAACTTCTTTTTTAGCAATGCCAGTATTCTGACCCCCAAAATTTTACCTTATTTCCTACCCTATGAGAATGACTCCCTTCTTAGCCACTTGTCCAAGTTTTCCCCAGTTTTCCTGCACACAGGACCTCATTTAAATCTCTGTTGCGCTTATGATTAACTCCACTAGGGTTAGGCTTGTACAGACGGGTTTGGTTTTATTATTTTATTTTGGTATCATTAATGTACAATTACTTGAACTAGACTCCCCCTATTATCAAGTCCCCACCACATACCCCATTACAGTCACTGTCCATCAGCATAGTAAGATGCTATAGAGTCATTACTTGTCTTCTCTGGATATACTGCCTTTCCCGTGTCCCTCCCCCCGCCACCCCCCACCTACATTATGTGTGCTAATTGTAATGTCCCGTTTTCCCTCTTATCCCTCCCTTCCCACCCATCCCCCCCAGTCCCTTTCCCTTCGGTAAATGTTAGTCCATTCTTGGGTTCTGTGAGTTTGCTGCTGTTTTGTTCCTTCAGTTTTTTCTTTGTTCTCATGCTCCACATATGAGTGAAATCATTTGGTACTTGTCTTTCTCCGCCTGGCTTATTTCACTGAGCATAATACCCTCTAGCTCCATCCATGCTGTTGCAAATGGTAGGATTTGTTTTCTTCTTATGGCTGAGTAATATTCCATTGTGTATATGTACCACATCTTCTTTATCCACTCATCTATGATGGACACTTAGGTTGCTTCCATATCTTGGCTATTGTAAATAGAGCAGCAATAAACATAGGGGTGCATCTGTCTTTTAAAAACTGGGCTGCTGCATTCTTAGGGTAAATTCCTAGGAGTGAGATTCCTGGGTCAAATGGTATTTCTATTTTTAGTTTTTTGAGGAACCTCCATACTGCTTTCCACAATGGTCGAACTAGTTTACATTCCCACCAGCAGTGTAGGAGGGTTCCCCTTTCTCCACAACCTCGCCAGCATTTGTTGTTTGTCTTTTGGATGGTGGTGATCCTTACTGGTGTGAGGTGATATCTCATTGTGGTTTTAATTTGCATTTCTCTGATGATTAGCGATGTGGGGCATCTTTTCATGTGAGAGTATTGGTTTTTTGAGGGCAGACATATTTTCAGTTGAAAGAAAAAGAGAGTCTTCATGTCTCCATCAGGTTTTCATGTTATTCTGTCACTCAAATTAGGACTGTCTGAGAAAGCTGTCCTTAAAGGGACTGCTTACAAATTATAGATGGGATGTGTGGGCAGTGAAGGAAGCTAGGTCCAAAGCAGTGAGAGGAAAGAAAGAAGAGTAGACCTTGAAGGACGCAGCTGTGTAGAATAGGCGGCTCTCCCAGCTCAGGGCCACCTGACAAGGAGACTGGGACTGAGCACCCTAATCCTGCTTGCCTCCCTCCCCTCTCAACTCTACTGGGACTCCCCACTCATCAAATTCTGCTCAGAGTACCAGGGAGACTATACACTCTAGGCACCAGGAAATTGGAAGGGCAAGGATGGGGTGTAGCTTGGGCGTGAGAGGGAGGGACAGGACATCAGGTACCCAGCACGTCCACCCTGAATGAATATCTAATTGCTCTTTTAAAAGAACATGGTCAGTCCTTTCCATAGCAGCCAATAACCCCCAGTTCAACAAATACCTATTGAGTAGCTACATGCAACCATGGTTCTTTCTGAAATTATGTAGGAATTTTTTGTTTTTTTATATTGCATTCTCTAATCTTAATTTGTAGAATTTTTTTGAAAACTAAAAATGGCAGAAATTGACAAGAGGCCATCTGTCCCACTTCCCTTTCCTGGATACATGGAAAGCTGCATTTCCCAGCCTCCCTTGCAGTTTACTTGGTCACAAAACTAGGTTCTGGCCAGTGGAGTGGCTGGGGGGGAGGTGTGCTCCTCTTCCTAGGCCTGTCCACAGAACCTCCTGCATGGCACTGCTTGCCTTCTCCCCCTCTGTGTGGCCGGAAGCAAATGGCTCTCAGACAGCAAAGCCCTGAGTGCCCATCTGGAGGAAAGCTGTCCAAACAAGCCACTAAGTTGTTTGCAAGAAGCTTTCAATGTCTTAATCCAATGAAATTTTTTTGTTACATCATCTGAAACAATGTTTCTCAATGGCTGTACTATTGATGTTTCCCACAGGCTTGGTCTCCCCTGTGTGGGCTGATCTGTGCATCAGGTTTAGCACCTCCAGGCTTCTATCACTGTTTCATAAGTACCCTCTCTCTGCTCCTGTCATGACAATCAAAAATGTCTTCAGACATTGCCAAATGTTCCTTGGAGGGCAAAACCACCCAGAGTTGAGAACCACTAATCTAAGTCCTCTTGACTAATGCTGTGTCCTGGGCACTGCTCACAGAGATGGGGGATAGGTATGGGCTTGGCATCTGACCTTAGGAGTGTGGAAAACAGTGTAATACATTATACACGTATGTGGATTTTAGGACGACTGCTTCACGGCAGCACTGTTAAACTGGAAACAACAAATGGGCAACAATATAGGACTAAACGCATTAAGGTACATCAAAGAACCTAGTAGTATGTATCCATTAAATGATGTAGATCTGCTATGTACTTACTTAGAAGGACACATTCTTCTTTTAAGCAGCAACAGAGGGTTTGTGGGGTATAATTTTTTAAGAAAAAAAATGTTATGTGACAATGGAAGGATTTCGAGTGTTGCTTTTGGGGATAGAATTGGGGTAATTAATTTTTTCCCCTTACTTGTGTTTTCTAGTATTTCTACGTTAAATAATTAGATGACTGTGGTGGCAACTGTGTGCTGCGGGTGACACTGAACTGCCCCCGTAAGAAACAACGCCCTTCAGCTTCCTGGGTTCTGCCACAGTAAAACTCTGGACTGTTGGTACCTCTAACTTAAGTGTTCCCTTTCATGAAAAAGTTAAATGTTGTAGTCTATAAACCCAACTAAAAGGTTTACTGAACACTGGTAACATCTAACTTGAAGCGGTGTCTGACTTGTTGACCTGAACACACGTGAGAACATGACCGAGACTGTTGCATACAATATGGAGATGTGCTTTTTAAAATGCCATTTGGAAATATTTGTCTAAATAACTGCCTCAAGCTCCCTCGAGTAGGCACATCTGCTTTTTCTAATTTCACACCTTTTATTTTTTCTTGCCTCAGGTTATCTAATTTTGCAAAGGAGATGAAAAATATATTACCCTGTTTATCAAATGAGTGCTAAACAGACTGTTTATTCTTTCAAGGTTGATTATGAACAAAATGACCATATTTGGTATTTAGAAGTTTGCTGGGTTAAGTATAAAAATATTAACATTCAGTGTCCTATCTGGGAGAAGTACATGCATCAAAGTTAATGAAATGCAAGGTTTGTTTAAGTAACTGATAGTTATTACCCTAAAGTGGGTCATCTTCTAAGGGCCACAAAAATCAGTCAGAAATACCTACTTGTGAATATAATACAGCAGCCTCAGCATGTTTTTTTCCTATAACTTTGCATATGGAGATCTTACAGAAATGGACCTTCTGTGAAGATTTTAAACAGCAAATTTCTTAGCTACACAATCTGTCTTACTGACTCTAAGAAGTCACAGTAGGGTAAACTTGTTCTAAATGTTACAAGTTTTTTAACTTACAAAATAAAATACCCAATCGAGGTGTGTTTTAAGTCTTTTAATATAAAATTACATGCTTAGTTTGTGATTAACCAAGGGGAAAAAAAGGCTAACCAAGTCCTCTCTCACAGGTCAATAAAAGGGCATGCTAATGTTGGTTTGGTATTTACAACTAATTTATTTCACTGATATTTTCTTAACTTTAAATGGTCAATACCAAATATATTTTTGAGCGTTCAAAGGAAGGATGGTCAATTCTTACTCATTCAGCAAGCACTCAACATTTTTATTAATTGAACAAGTTTATTGGTCTCCGAATAGGGCAGTTTCAGGCCGTCCGCAGGTACCGAAGGATGTCAGCACAAGAGGTGAGGCTTCCGGGCGCGCGGCCCTCGTCGCACGTGGACCCGGGGACACAGCCCGTTCACCCAGTCACGGGGCCCGCGTCCCAGCGCAGCCCGCGACGGCCCGGCGCGCCCACCTGCCTCCAGGCGCGCTCTCCCGACCAGAGGCCAGACGAGGGGCTCAAAGCCGCCGCACAGGGAATCACTGACGCGCTGCCACGGAATTTTGGAAGGTTTCTTTTCCTGCACCTGTTTCACTAGCATTTACGTGAAAACGGCTCTCGGCAGGGATCCCGGCGGAGGGCGCAGCTGTAAGTGCGGCCTGTGGGCCGGCGGACCGGACGGAGACCAGGACCCGCTCCCACGAGCCCGCCGCCGCCGGCCGCCGCCAGCCAGCGATGGCCCCGCCCCTCGCCTCGCGCATGCGCCCCCGGAGCGGCCGCGCGTGCTGCCGGGAGGGGCCTCGCTGTTTTCCCCCTTTCCCGGGGCCGGCCCACTCCGGCCCACGGGGGGGCGCGCTCCCGAGCGGCCCCGGAGTTCCCTGGGGAAGGAGCGGCGGCCGCGGGACCCCCCGTCCGCGGAGCGGGCTAGGAGGTCCCCGTGCCCTTGGGGCCGCGGGGTGCGGCCGAGGCGCTGGGCGGCGCCGGCGGGCGGCCGGCTGCTCGGCGCTCCCCCTCGGCTGCGGGCAGGATGGTGCGTCCCGCAGGGCGCGCGCGGCTCCCGCGCTCCGGCCGCCCGGGCGGGTGGGGGAGCGGGTCCGACTCACAGTACGCGGCCGGGCGGCGCGGTTGGGGAGCGGGCCCCGCGGGGCGGGGCGGGAGCCGCCGCGACCATGTCGGACCCGGCGCCCAAAGTTCCCGAGGAGATGTTCAGGGAGGTCAAGTACTACGCGGTGGGCGACATCGACCCGCAGGTACCGCTCCGCCCCCTCCCGCAGCTGCCTGGCCCGTCCCCGCTCCCGCCGCGGGCGCGCGCCCGGGCGCAGAACCTCCGGGCCCAGCGGCCGGATCCCCGTGGGGCCTGCCGGCCTGGCTGCGCCGGGCTGGGCCGTCGGGTGCCGAGCAGGCCCGCAGCTGGAGCCAGAGGCGGGAGGGGAGCCGCGGGCGGGGAGCGGCAGGGGCAGGGTCTGCGGGACCCTGGGGAGAGTTCGGGGGGACCTGAGGATGGGGGTCTGGGGGCGCTTCGGAGGGGGTCTCTGCAGGACCGCGGCAGGCGACGCGGTGGGGGCGTCTGCGAGACCGTCAGGAGGGATGGCAGGGGGCCCGGGGGGCTCTGCTGGGACCAGCCGCGGGGAGGCCGTCCGGAGGTGAGCGTGGTGGGACCCGGGATGGGATGTGCAGAGAGGAGGGGACGTGGGTAGGGGTCTCCTCCGGGGCCTAGCGCCGATTGTCACCGTCCCCGCCTGGTGAGGCACCGGCGTCTTGTCACGTGGCCTCGTGGCCGCGAGTGTGGCCGCGAGCCCGTCCCCTCCGCCCGCCTTGCATTCGGCTGCCTGGGGCGCATTCAGGCAGGGAGCATCCTCCTGCCGCGGGAGACGGTGGTCGGTGACGGGCGGGAAGGGATCCTTGGCCCGTAGGGCTCGCGCAGGGGCCCCGGTTGCCGGCCGCAGTGGGGGCAGGTGGCCGTCTTCGTGTGGCCAGCTCCTGAGCTCACGGTTTCTTTGATTCGCTCCGTCGACCACGAACAAATCCGTGTCCCTCGATTTCATCATTGGGTGAATTACACAGTCTTGTGGAAAATAACCTGGTAACACCATCACAGTAAACATTAAAAGTTTTGTAGTGTGTGCCCACGCCAAAGGATACCATGGCTTTTCCTAAGTTTTTTCTAAGTAATACCTGTAACCGTCAGAGTGTCCTTCAGTGCTGGGAGGGTCTGAGCTGAACCTCCTCTTCAGGTCGACCCTTCACAGGCCCCCCCTTGGAGTTCACCTGTGCAGTCGTATGGCCCAGGTGTATCCTTATCGGTGGGTGCTACCTGGAGGAGAGGGGTGTGCAGTCGCGTGCCAGAACCCAGCCTCCAAGAGTGAGACAGTGCTGTCTGCCAGCCCAGCTGGTGTGGAAGGAGGCGTGGAAGGCTGGCCTTGGCCTTGGAGAGGCGTGTACGGAGGTGCCTTAGTAGCTAAACTCCCTTGGTGACCTCCAGGGTGTGGATCCTCTTTCTGCTGTAACTGGCGAGGAGACTTGACTTTACATTTAAAGATACGTTGAAAGGTGTTGAAGCCAGAGTGATCAGGAGAGGCTGGAGCAGGCACAGCTTTTTCCAGTGGATAAGCCCCCTTTTTTCCACGCCCGTCTCGGCGCTTTCCTGCCTGCCCTCCCTATTTCATTTTAGGACTTTGGCTCTTACAAGGACGTGAACCAAATGTTACTTAAAACCTGAAACACGCCGAACTGGAACTATATTTGTTCAACTGTGAATCAAATCTGACAGCTTAAAAATGTGCTGGGCAAAGCACTTTGATCTGAAACAGTATATTTTCTAAAATGTTTAATGCCAGAACATGAAATTCTCTGACTCTTATAAACCTGGGTTCAGAAATTTCATGTGCTGAGCATCTAGTACATTTCAGGCACTGGGCTGGAGAGCGAGTGTGATGTAAAGATGATCAGGACCTGATACCTGCCTTTGAGGCCTTGTTGGGGGGCAGGGAACATCCTGTAGGGTGGTAGGCACTCGAAGAACAGATTTCTCCGCTTGGGAGCCTAGGAGAAGGCACCTGTGTGGTTCTTCAAAGTCGGTGTCATTGCAGTTGGGGGTTAGAGTAAGCAGAAGAGGTGGAAGATGGCTTCCGTCAGGTGAGTGTGTGCTGAGGACTGCCCGCATTCATGTACTGGGGGTATATCAGGGTCACCAGCATACCTGGAGCGACGTGAGCAAAGTCTCCTAAGGTAGAGACGCAGAAGTGCAGAGACTGAAAAGTGGCGAGTGCTGCTGGCGTCCTCCGTAGAGTGTGGGAGAAGAGGCGGTAGCGGGGAGTGAGTGCGGCTGGGCCGTGTCAAGACGTTTGTCACTAAAAGGAAGCAGAGACGGGGCTGGGCATGGGTCCGTGTGTACATGCGCATGTGCATGTAGACAGGAGGATGGGAGCCCTCATTCATAGGCAGAAGAGGAGAGACCGAAATCTCAACTCCTAAGAAAGGCAGTAGGATCAGAACACAGACGAGGATAGATGGATACAAGGGATGGAATGGATGTGGAAGCTAAAGATGCCTGGAGGTCAAGGAATAAAACAGTTGAGGCGGCTTGTTGGCTAATGACCATTGCTTTTTCATTTATTAAATAAAGTGTTAGCACTGGCTCCAGATCTGTGTGGATGTAAGTAAAATAATCTAAAAAGCTCGTCTAACTTGGGGGTGACTAGCTTGTGGCACTGCCTCACCTCCATTCTGCTCTTACTGCGACCTGTCCCTGACGTCTCTGGCAGGTGGGCAAGTAGCCTCTGGTTTACTTCCCGCTGTGTCTAGGATTCTCCTTCCTTCTCTCTCAGAGCCATGGCTCATTAAGATGCGGGTGGTTCTCTGTCAGGTGGGACCCAAGGCTTTTCCCCGATAGCTTGGATGTCTTTTCCTGCCCTCCTCATGGCGCCCAGAGGATGTCCCCTTACCAAAAAACACTTTTGCTTTCCGTCCCTTGTTACCCATCCCTCGGCGTGGGACTGTTGTCCCCCGTGCCTCTTTACCCCTGTCCTTACACCCCTTCCTGCCCTGTCTTGCTGATGCTATCCCACCTTTCTTCCCGTCCTTGAAGGCGTACCTTAGCTCACTTACCTGCCTCTTTCACCTGATCGTAACAGATGTTTCTTAACAGGCTCCTGGCTCCACTCCAGTAGCCCACCCAGTCTGCTCTGCTTACCCTGACAGCAGTCTTCCTGTAAAATCCGATCATGCTGGGCCCTGCCTAAACCCAGTGGTGTTTCTCCAGAGGACACTCCCGAATTTTATTTCAGAATAAAGTACAGATGTTTTTCATGGCACGTAGGGTAGGCCATCTATGGGCTGATCTTTATTCACCTGCCCAGTGTGTTGCCACAGTGCATGTTTTTGCTTGGCTAACCTGCCTTTATAGTCATAAAGATTCTGCTCACATAGCTTCTCTTCTGAAACTGTACCATTTGCAGTGAAACTGCCCATCCCCAAGCCTTCAGTTTTGAGACCCAGAAGCATTGTGTGCCAGGCCAGTCTCAGCACTCATGGTGCTGCGTTCTAGTTGTCCGTCAGTCCTGTATTCAGGACAGAGGCAGGACCTAGAATTTGTCTCACAGTAGCCTCCATATGGTCAGTGAACTGAGATTTGCTGCTTTTGATTGTCCCCAAATTCTTTCATTGTAGATGACTTGGGGTAAGAGTTATTAATCCTGTGTGGAGAACATGGTGTGTTTTCATTAGAATTTTAATTGTTTGCAATAATTTATATAAAGAATGAAATGTATTTCTCATATTAATTTGTGTGTGTATTTTTTAAAGGTTATTCAGCTTCTAAAAGCTGGGAAAGCTAAGGAAGTGTCCTACAACGCACTGGCCTCCCATATAATTTCAGAAGATGGGGACAATCCAGAGGTTGGAGAGGCTCGGGAAGTCTTTGATTTGCCTGTTGTAAAGGTCAGTAGTAAATCTAATTAATTTTAGACATTTCATCTGTCTTAGAAGCAATGCACTGTAGTCCTAATGTAACTTATCCGAGCGCTTGCTGCAGGACGGCTTTGTGGGGGTGATCCGCGTGACACCTGTTGGCATCTCTGTAGCCTGCCTCAGCTAATGGCCCTGTGAGTTAAATCACGCTGTAGTAAGGGTTCTATACGGGATGAGTGGCTCCAGATGGGCACTGTGCCTGCTGTGGGGCGGCCTCGTTTTATCACTGCCCCGAAGTGCTCTGAACCAAGGCAGTGCATTGTAGCAAGGGCTGTGTTGCCGTGAAGCAGAGGGCATTGGAGAACTGCAGGAGAGCGGATTTGCTTGCAGAAGCGGCCTGAATCCTGTCGAGAGAACTCCTGGGGCAGGGTTACTCTCCATCCCTGTTGTGGCATGTGGCCCTCATGGCCAGCTGGCCAAGTTGACGGAAGCCCGGTCCCCCATCTGCTATGCTGTTTGCTTTCCAACCAGGGTCACAGTGACCGCTTGTCATCCTGTCCACCTGTGGCCACTTGTACCACTGTCCAGTTTGAGCTTATTTTAGCTTTTTTAGTAGTTTATTCTGGAAAGCGGGGGCCCCAGCTGGTAGGTGATTGTTCAGACGTTAGTCCGCGTACTGTGCTGCTCTTGCTGCCCGTAGATGAGTTGACTGCTGTTAATTTTGATTTTGTAATTTTAATCCTTCAATTTTTTTCTAATCTTCTCTATTACATATTTGTTTTAAAATAGACTTATTCCACTACCATTTTTCCCCTCTTCACGCTATTAAATGCTTTGTCTTAAAAAAAACTCAGCATAAAAGTTACTGTGGTTTAATAACAAGAGGTCATTAAAATTAGGAAACTGAGTTAGGAAAGTTTGCCATTAAGTCAGGCGGGCAGGCAGAGAAGCCAGCTGGCTGCTGGGAAGTCTGAACTTCGTCAGGATCCAGGGCCTGAAACTCTGCCTGGCAGGCTTAGAAACCTGATTTTTGAAAATGCACCTGAAAGCAGATCTGTCCCACGAGAAGGTTCTCATAAGCCAAATCTCAAGAGATGGCTGTGCAAGTTAGAATGGCTATTAATTTGCAGCCATGAAATCCAGTGGTCACATTCTGCACTGGAGCGCTGGTTTCCGCTTGGCCAGCTTGGGCTCAGTCTGCATGCACTCAGCAGGTCGCTTGGCCACTTGGCCAGGGCACTGCCACTCTGTAAGAGAGAGACACACTGCCCTAGGCACTTGGCTTGGCATCCCCTCCCATGGGTCCTGTTTTGTCTCTGATTTGCTTCCATTCTTCTGTGGCTTCAGGGGCTTTATCTCCGTTCCCCTTTCTTCACAAAGTGACTTCACATATATTGTGTATATTTTATACTGAACCTTAAAAGGGCAATCTTACTCACAAATTTTGGGGGCATAGGGCATTGTTGCCAGATCACTTATAGCAGTGGTTCTTGAATCTGGTGACCCCAAATCCCGCTTTGTAACAAATGTTTTATAGCACCTCCTTTATTATCCTGAAATGAAATTCACTCGGAAGATGAAGTGTGTATATATACATACACATACATTTACATATAAACTGCCCAAATCGAAATGGAGGCCAAAAAAGGAAAGTAAATAATGTGCATCTCAGTATGTAAATACTTGGGCACGCCTGAGCCAGAGGACAGGATGAAGGCAGAGGCTCTGGATCGCGGTGTGTGTGATGGTGCGAAGCGGGGGTCCCACTGGAGGTGCAGCTGTGAGGGCGCATTTCAGAATGGTGATCATCCTTGCTCAAATTCACACCTAAGTACCCAGTCTCTTCCCTTTACACAGAAGTGGTATCCAGGAAACGTCCGGCTTCCCGTCCTGCTTTTCCCCCTTTGCTGAAGTATTTCGCAGTGAAACCCCGCATGCTAGCATTCTGTCGTGCGCAGCATTCCGGCCTGCGTGTAGCGTGTGGCTGCGCGCTGGTGCTGTGCAGGGATGCAGTGTACATTCCAGGACAATAGGCTCTTTCAGAGCTGGCCCGGCGGTCTGTGTTCCTGTCACGCTCCTGCTGGTGGACCCTGAAGTTCTCCGTCTGCCGCCTGCTGGGGAGGCAGAGCCCTGCTTCCCTAAGTGCCTGTCCCTTGGCCGTCACCTTACTATGAAATTTGAGAAATATGTTTTTAAAATGAGGCATCTTTATGAACAGTGACAGTTTATCCAGCATTTACATATTTGAGTTTTATAGGTGGTCAAAATTTGCTTTTTTGGCACCAAAACTTTTCAACTACGTTTTTTAAGGGAAATATTTTCCTCAGCGGCCTTGGGACATCATTGGAAATGTTAATTGTGCTGACTATTTTTATATATTGTTACTTGCCTTTGAGATAAATAGCTCCTTATTACTATGCTTTTTCTAGTCTCCATTTCTGCTTAATTATTATTAGCATATCATGCAGCTTCTTAACTTTGCATTTTTTGTCTAGACTTCACTGAAAGAGGGTCTGTGGGTGATTCTGCTCTGCGCTGCCTTGCTGGTAGCTAGCCCAGCAGTCTCCCAAAGGGAACCCATACTTAGCTCTCCCCCACGCACCGGAGGGATGACTTCTCAGTGTGTGTGCTGCATGGATAGTCTTAAGGGGCAGCTTTCCAGTGTGCCGGCTTCTCCAGGGTCCCTCCTGAAGCAGCCTGAGGACACTCCTCTGGTCCGGTCGGCTGCCCCGTGCGGAGAGAGGGCCCCCCTTCACCGGCCAGGTCACGTCAGTACATTGCCCTAGGGTCTGAAAATCCTCCTCAGCACGAAGGGCTGACTGCAAATACTGGTTTCAGGAAAGCTGCCCCCACGCCTCGTGTGCAGCCAAGAACTGGTGCTGTGGTGGTGACCGCGCTTGGCCCGCTAGCAGTGTTCTGAGTGCAGAGGGCTCACAGCCAGTATTGGTTACTGATGCTGGCCAGTTAATTCCCTTAAATTTAACTGGGATTTTCCTGGACTATCAAAAAATGTGAAGATACCTTAGAGAAAGCGCATGGTGGAAGCATTAAGTGCTTTCTGTGAGCTCGGTACACTTTATGCAGTGAGTGAGTTAGAACATTTGGTAAAATGACCAAATTCATCATAAAATGATTATCCCAAATAGATAAAATATCTTTATTTTATAATACGTTTGCATATATAATACGTTATAATACGTTTGCAGATGATTCACTTTTGTATACTTATGCTGAAAATTTGTTGATGTCACCTGAAAAATGATGAGGATGAAAAACCGTTTTCTAAATTTCTTTTAAGGTGTATGTGACATGGATGCCCTGAAGGTCATTACCTTGGAATATCCCCTGTGTGAGAGCAAAGACTACATTTCTTTGTTATGTTCCTAGAGCCTTGCTCCATCTCTGGTACAAAATAGATTCTGATGCGCAGAATAAATATCTGATGGATGAGTTGATGAGTAGCAAGTGTTACGTATGATTTAGTCGGCGGAACTGTCTGCCTGTCAGCTGAATGGAGCATTAGTACATTTTTACATAGGAGTTTTGTGAAGTGGAGCTATCAGGATGATTAATGTAATTTTAAAAATTAAATACAGAAATATAAGGTAATTTTTCAGAAATAAAAAATTACCCAAACAGTAGTAATTCATCTAAGGTTTTATTATTAGTCTGTTTTTATTATTAGTTTTTATTTTATTTTATTATTAGTTTTATTATAAGGTTTTATTATTAGTATGTCTGTTACTAGACAGAAATACTTTCTTGTGGTTTATAAACATTGTGTCTGTTTGGCTGGATGGGAGGGGGTAGGGGGGGCAGTCAGACCCCTGTCCTTCCAGCTGTGAGACAGTTTCCAGCCAGCCCAGAGTCTGAAACAGTAGTAAGTGTGTAAACCTAGAATTTAAATTTCTATACATAAAAATTTTTTGAAGTTCTGGTAGTGTTTCATTCTATAACTGGGCTTTTCACCTTGGGCATTAAAAACTAACCTTTGACTCTGATGTTTCTCCATTTTGAATACTCATAACTCATCCGGCAATCTGGGTGCTCTATATCAGTCACAATAGGGCCTTTCGTTTCTAGGAGCAGCCCTAGTACAATAAGGTCATTTTGAGTATAAATTGAAAATACTTTCTGATTTGAGTCCATATTTTCTCTTTCAGCCATCTTGGGTGATTTTGTCCGTCCAGTGTGGAGCTCTCCTGCCGTATCCTTTTTGGGGAAAGGCCGGGGGGAAAGGGTAATTCTGTGTTGAAGACTGAAATGGTCAGTAGTGAGTGAAAAGTGGATCCGTTAGTTAGAGCAGATGGTGTTGTGTGCCCTGCCTGTCTCTGCTGTTTCCCAGCCTCTATCCAGTTACATGTACCTGATCGTTACCAGGGAAAGGGGTCGCCTGTGCCTGCGGCTCTGGGTGCCTGGGGCAGCCTGCTTCTCCCCACCTCAGTTTTCTTATCTCTGAAACAGATTGTTTGTGTAGTGTCTAGTTAGATGGAGCACTTAAAAGATTCTGAATTTCTAAAGTCCAAATCATACATTATTTGAAGAATAGATTGGGGAAGAGTGCCTCAGGACATCGATAGTTTTAGGATGTGCATTGTTACTCTTTTTAATCATGTTGGGTGGAAGGTTTCTTGGGACTTCTGACATGCTCTGGGCTGGGTGCTGAAACTAGAGGGCTCGACCAGGCCCCGTTTCTGCCCTCAAGGAGCCTCCTCGCTGGGTCACTGTTTCTTGGGAGGGACTCTGGGGCTGCAGTCTGTGCATGTGGGCCACTGTTTAGTGCTCTAATGGATAAGCTTCACTGGAGGGGCCCTCCAAGCATAACCGGGGTTTGGAAATTGACTTCTTTAAAGGGTACTTGATATACCATACCATTAAGATACTAAAGTTTGAGACCTGGGCAAGAGACGATGTCATTGACCCTATTTTGTTTTGCAGCTACGCCAGGCACTTCCTGCAAACACATTTATTGCTTCCCGAATCCATGTAGGTGGAGGAGTTTTACATTAAATATTTATGGGGACCTCAAATAAACAGAAAACATCCCTTTGTAAGTGGTTCTTGGAGGATGTGCAGAACTTTAGCAAGTCCAAAAATTCTAAGATGTCTCATCCACGATCAGTTTCTGCTCTGTTTTGTTTTGTTTTTTTTTGTTTTTTTGGGGGAGTTTGTTTTGTTTGTCTTCTTTGTAAGCGCAGCACAGATTGGGCTAGAAGGGATGTTTTTGGAGATTAGACCTCGGTTCTTCCTGCCCTGGATCATTTGCTCTCCACACGGGAATCCCGAAAGAGGTAGTCCTCTGCTTTGAGCTCTTGCCCATCCCAGAGAAGCTTAACAGAACAGAGACTGTTGGACAACACCCTCTGCGTTTGCCTTTGTTCATGTTCCCTCAAGCCTCTAGAAATAGCGAATCCCTAAGCTAAGATAGGAGGATGGAAACATCCTGGATGATAGGGCTGCGGGCATGGTGTTGGGGTCTGCAGAGCTTCCTGCCGACAGGCAGGCTCCTGGCTCTGTGAGGTTTCTCAGGAGCCCAGCGCAGGGGACTTCCCTCGGCAGTAGAATTTTCAGTCTGACCTGTTATACCTAATTCACTTGTCTCAATAGGCATGCATTGCCTGTAGGGAAAGAAGTCATTCTTTAGCCCATTTTGAATTTGAGGCACTGCAAATTCTTAAAAACAGTCATGGTGTTTGCTGTAAATAGACAGAAAAGTGCAGCCATCTGGGGTCATGTATACTTAGGATGGCCATGTGCCTGGCGTCTGGCACACAGTAAGCCCTCAGTAAAGATTTTGAATGAATTTTAAAAATTAGAGCTTTAGAACTGGGAAAGATCTGGGAATTACACATTCTAATTCCTGTTTTATCAAAGAAGACTGAAGCTCAGAGCTGTCTTGCCCAAATTCATGAAGTTATTGGTGGTAATAAAACCATAACACAGTTATTTTATGAAAGATTTTCTCTCCTATACAACAAGTAATCACATTGTTTATTCTAAACTAACTTAAGACTTTTAATTTGCTTTTAGAATACTTGCTATGCTGTATGTATATATACGTGTATACATTGTGTGTGTGTGTGTGTGTGTGTGTGTGTGTGTGTGTGTGTGTGTATAGTTAACTGGCTGCCAGAGGTCAGATGTTTCCCCCTGAGAATATATGCCCATTTAATTGATGATGCAAGTGGAGAGATTGGATTAGAAAACTCTTTACAGAAGACCTCTGGCCCTTTGCACGCTCTCAGCTTCTCTTTGTTCCAGTCTGCCCTGCACTGTTCTCAGTTAACTTAAGTCAATCTCTTTCCTAGGTTGGTTGAGGGGGCGGGGGAGGTGGGTCATATCCAGATGGGCAAATAGGATTTATCTGTAGTGAAATACAGGCTGTGCTAATCTCATTGCATTGGAATCTTAATAACTAACACAGCGTAAACGGTTTTTCTCCAGAGTCATGTCAAATTTTTTTTGGAATCACTGCCTGCCTCTCCCAGGTAAGCATGGTTACAGTGAGTCTTAAGTTGTTATTTACACTTTACATTCTGAGTTTTTACATAATTGGATTTATGGCCTATTTGTAAACCAGTTTTAGAGAAGCTATTTATTAAACTGCACATTCATTATGACCTTATGACATGATTATTTAAATATTCATGCTTAGCTTTAATATTTAAAGTTTTAATGGATGAAAATCATCTTTCTGTTCTTAAGAATTGCACATTTAAAATTTCAATATGAAAAAATAGAGTGAAGTTATATAAGATAACGAGGAAAATTCAGTCAGAAATAAAGGCAAAGAATTTTCTTAATAAATAAAGTCCCAGTGTAGATCAATAAGGCAAAAATAAGACCTCAGTAGATGAGGCAGAAAATGAATTTACAACTTTGTGTAAAGAGGAATTACAAATAATAAGTACAATAAAATACCAGATACACTTTACAATCTGGGCAAACACTTCAGTAGCACCGAGGTAACCTGCTTGTTGAGTTTGTGGCAGTTCGTTGAGTGTTGGGGTCACACGCTGCCCCTTCTCACCGTGGGCAGCATGCACGTCAGCGTGGCCATGTGCTGGGCAGACTGGGAAGTGTCGGGCCTTTTTCCGCAGGTCTCTGACCTCTAGAGAATTACCCCAAATAATAGGAATAAGGACAGAGTGATGCATAAAGGTGTTCAGCACAGCTTAACATAAAATTTGAAATAATCAAATCATCCACTCTTTGGAAATGGATCAGAAAACTATTCTGTACCTACTCAATAGTCTAGCTACAGGAGTTATTTTTTATGAAAATACGTAGAGACTGGGGAATGTTTTAAGTTGGAAAAAAAACAGAATGAACTGCAACATAGGTATGTAAAGTATTACAACAACCAAATAAAATATATAAGAAATATCTGGAAGGAGGGACCAGAATACTAGCAGTAGTTAATTCTGGGCAGTGAGAGAAGCGAATATTCAGTGATTTTATTGTAACCTGTCCTGTCAAGCCCCAGCTAAAAACTACAAAAAGGTTGGTATTGTGAAAGCTCATTTTAAGCTGTGTAGAATAATTTGTTAAGACTAGAGGTCACTGGACAGGCAGAGTGCAGCTTTGAGGGCCCCTGTGGTGCTCGAGCTCGCGGGTCTAGCCCTGGTCTGCAATTCTGGGCTCCTCCCGTGCTGTTTTTGAGAAACTGTTCAGTGCCAAACTGTTCAGGTGCTGGGTGAGATGCAAAGGAATTTGGTTATGCCCTTGCTTTTTTAAGCCCTTGTCATAGAGGATTATGGGACCAGATAATATTTTGTGCAACAATATTAACAGACTCAGCTTTTCATGCCAACGGTACCACCAGTCTGAATTTGATCCCTTCTCTCTGTAAGTTTAATTATGGTTATTGTGTTCCTGTTTGTATCTCTCGTAAACTCTGGAAGTTCTGTAAAATTATAAAATCCTGTCTTTTTCAAGTTTTGCTACATCAATTTGATACAGATCTTTGAAAAAGTTGGCTTTTTTTCTTAAGAACAGGAATGTTGTTGGTATTTGTATTTTTCAATGTTTTTCCTATCTGTGCTATGAACGTGTATTTACATGATCTTGAAAGTTGACTAAAATGAGAACCTTTCAGTGGTGGGAACTATGGTTACATGTAATTTTTATGGTTTTCCTTATACTTCTCTGTATGTTCCAAATTTACAATAAATATCAGAAAGGTTTTTTAAATGAAAGCATTTTATTACTATTCCTTATGCATAAACAGTGTACTTTGGCAAAACTGAATTTTGCATTTAATTATATTTGTATTGATTGGATTTCTGGGTTTGGAAATTCAGAAACCACACCCAGAGGGTTCAAACTGAGGGAGAAAGGGAAAAAAGAGGAAGGCTGGGGGCAGAGGGTGGTGAGGGCTGCCCAGGGTCAGGGTCACGTGACATGGTGTTCAGCAGACCTTACGCGGGGAAATAAAGAAAATCAAAAGTATGTAAGTGTAAGATGATTACAAGGTTTTAAATTAGGTGATTAGATGTTATAAAATAGTAAATACAAGTTCACTAGAGAGCACTTTAAGAGAAAAGCTAATGTTTGCATTTAACAAGTTACATGATATGTAGTAGATTATTGTATAATATGTATAATTTATAAGGTTATAGTAAATGTATCACAGACTGTATGATGTGCTGAATCAGGTGGCCCAGGTGTCAGTGTTGAGTCCAGAACAGAAGGCGTCAGTGGGGACCGCACGGTGGGGAAGCCTTGATGGGGCAGGTGGGCTTCGGTGGGTCTGGATGAGTGGGCGGGTGGAGTGAGTGTGAGGCGGGGACAGGGCATTCCAGACAGAGCGAGGTGGGAGGTGGTAAGGAGCAGGGTGATGCCCCTGGGTGTGGAGGAGAGAAGGACTGGGCAGGGGGCTGACTGGCCGGCCGCACAGGGCCGTGACGGCACCTGAGCTGAGCCTTGTGAGGAGCCTGCGGCAGCTTCACTTCTTTATTTCTTGCATATTTAATTTTGGATCGCGAATGTTTGCATTAGAACATTTAAAAAACCCACACAAAAAAGGAAGCAAAATTGAAATCACTTGGCGATCCTTTAGGTAGAAGTGGCCTGGGACCTGCAAGCATGACATGTGGGCAGGGGTTTGGGTAGGGGGCACATGCCGTCTTTCAGATGTGAAGTTAAGATTGGTCTGGGATGGGCACCCGTAAATAGATAGGCAGCCTGGACCTCAGGAAACAGGAGTCAGTGGCCTTGGTGACCTGGGAGTTCAGGGAGCAGCGCTGAGTGCCAGGTCCCGTGCCAGTGCTGTCATGGAGGGTCACTGGCGAGTCCCTCCTTCCCACTCAGGAGCGTGGGTGATGCGGCAGCTCCACAGCTAGAGGTGGGGAACAGGAGCCTGGTTTCCCAGGGAAGGCGGTGAAGCTGGTGTGAAACATGCTGCGTCTGGGGTGTTGGTCAGCTCTCCAGACGTAGGGCCTTGGCGATCAGAAGGGCTGAGAATGACCAGCTCCTTGCAGAGGAGAGTAGAAGAGCAGATAACCAGGGGCAGAGCCTTGGGTAATGTGCACAGCTATGGAGATGTGGGAAGAAGAAAAGAAACTTAAATACAGATAATACGGGAGGAGCAGGGTATTATTTTTAGAAACCAAGAATGAAGTCAGACTTAATCAGTTTTCTTTTCATTGCTGGGAAATAGCAATGCCCCAGCTGAATGTGCCAGGCAGTAGTTTGTAGCAGGTAGGCATGCAGAGCTTTGGGTGTTCCCTCTGTCCTGCCTATGACCCAGGAGAAGGAGAGTGGGATGGTGGACAGTGATGCAGGATGGCTGGTTGGCTCAGTGGCCATCAGACGTGCTCAGGAGTCTCGCAGAGCTCAGGTTCCTGGCTAAAATACACGAGTGTAGTCAGCAGACACGGGGCAGGGGGAGAGGGTGGTGGCAGATGTAGGAACCTCGATGCTCACAGTGGGTGAGTGTCACTTGGTGTGTGGTCTGTGACTGGCCCAGTGGTGGAGTTTTATCCAGGTGAAACTGATTGTGGGGAGTGGCTGACCCTGTCGTGGACAGAAGGGTGAATAGCAAGACCTTGGCAGTATTTTTTGTCCTTTTAGCAAATTTGTTAAGTAACCAAAGCCAGGATCCAGAGTCACTGTCATCTTACGGACTTCTTCCCACAGTTGTCACAGTCGCCCCTTAGGGTGATGAATTGGAGTCCCCAGTGTGTAATGGGCGAAATAATAAAAAGACCTGCTTCTAAGTTCCAAAAGATTGTTCAAATAAGGATGGAGAAGGCTTTACTCCATAGTAGCTCAAGGGAAGGGAAGTGCACTGGGACACTGATATTTTGTGGTTGCTAAAAATGTGAATTCTGCTCTAAGATATACTAACAAATACATGTAGAGTGCGCTGCTGAGGGGCGTTACCTGATGGTACTTCCTCTGCGACTGAACAGTGCCCAGGGGTACAGGCGAAGTAAGACGGGTCTCCTCCTCCCCGCCGCCAGTAGACTTCTGGTCTGGAAAGGGACGCAGGCGTGTGAATAAACACAGTGTGTAACATGCGCAGAGATGAAAGTGGTACAAGGTGTGGAAATAATAGCAGGAGGGAGCAATCTCCACGGTTCATTGGCACCACGTAGATGCCCTGGGGTCTGCACTTCTTCTGAACACGGGAACCCCTGCCTGCCTACGTGCACACGCCAGGCAGGGCTCCGCCTTTACGAAAGGACTGTTTGCTTGGTGGTTCTCAGTGACCTTCTGTCTTTTCCCGTCAGGGTGTTGACCCAGGCTGGAGCTCTGTTGGAGTCTTCCAGAGCTCTCCCAGGGAGAGGTAGGGAAGGGAGCTTTGCCAGCGGAAGTTGGGGAGCACAGACGTCATCTGCCTTCTTCTGACCGGTGTTGATGCAGGCTGAGGCCTCTGTTGTAATGTGCTGGGTAGGTTTCGGGGAATAGGTCAGGAGTCTGACGGAGGGCCTGGCCAGGGTCATAATTTAAATCTGGAAGACTAAAAAGCCCTTTCCATTCTGTAGCTCAATCAACACATATTTCTTGACTGCCTACCCATGTGCCTTGCACTGTACTAGGTTCTGTGTAAGATGTCAAGTTTAAGGTGTACGTCTTATGTAATATGACTCCAGTCTTTAATAAGGGGGAGTAGAATTCAGTCAAGACGGGACAAGGAGTCATTCATATGAGCTAGACCCAAGGGGTGTCCCATGAGGTATGTGAGGCCTGTAGGAGAAGGGCGGGCTCCCAGTTGGTGCACCGGGAAGCTTTCACGCGGGGGGCGGGTGGGGGGACCAGGTGAGGCTGCCACATCCTCTGCCCCAAGGGCCTAGAGAAGAGTGGGGAGGGCAGGTAGACATGCAGGCCCGTTGTGACGAGCATTTAGGCTTTCGCACAGCCTGCAGGGGGCGCCCGTGGTAGGGGGAGTGAGGGACGTGAGTGAGGCTGGAGGCGGAAGGCTTAGCGTGCTTGAGGGGCCTACGTCCACATGGTCCACATGGCAGGGGGAAGCGCGGGTATGGCAGGAGTGCTGGTGGGCAGCAGCGGGCGGCGGCAGCCAGATCAGGGCGGACCTGAGGCACCACCTCCAAGTTTGGGATTTTAGCCTTAAGGGATTGAGGAGTCAGTCACCCAAGCCTTATTGGCTGAGATGATAAGATTTGTAGTTTAGAAAGATTTCTTTAAAAAAAAGATAAGCACTTTTCCCAGTTGTAAAATTAATGCTGTTAAAAATTTGGAAAATACAGAAAAGTATAAAAATATCCCCGTAATCCTATCCCCGTAGGTGATTATTGTTAACATTTTGGTGTGGAAAGAGCATTCTTAATTATTAATTATACTGATACAGATTCATCCAATGCACTGGTATGGGTGGTCCAAGTCACTTAACCCTGACACACATCGGTGAAGAGTCTGGTTCGTGGAAGTTTTCCGAGCTGCGTAGGCTGGTTTGTGGAGATCCTGTGTCCATTCCAGGTCTCCCTTCATCCCAACTGGTGTTCTTTCCACAGCAACACGGTGCTCCGTGCTGAGACCCACGCCTGTGACCAGGCCAGATGGGGCGGGGGCGCTGCAGTCAGTGAAGCTAGACTAATACTTACTCTGGCGTGTGGCCAGATCTTTATCGTAAAGGTATATCTAGGTTATGTTCTTTAATTTCACTTTGAATAAAGATTTTATGATTCATTGGCATAATCTGTATTGTCATGTACTTGAATCTCACCTCTCCAAATGCTGCAGGATATGTGTTTTTGTGAAAGCCTCTAATAAAAACAGTCTTCTGATCCAAGTCTCTGAAATGTGACATTGACTTACTAAATTTAAGAGATAAAATAATGATATTTACAGATGACTTTATAAAAGTAATGTGTTCTTGTTAGTGTTCACAGAGTAATGTGGAGTGTAAAATACTTCCTGGAGATATTTGTAAAATGAATGAGAGTAGATGTAGAATGTTAGATTTTTGGCAAGCTGAATGGTAGTTGAAAAATAAAGCGTTATTTGTCAATACTTAAAAAAAAGTCACTTGAGACGAAGTTCGGAATTCATAATAGCCATAATCCTTAACTATAATAAAGTATGCAGAAAATTGACTCAGTTAAATGATTCTGTTAGAATTAACACACCTTTTATTTTTCTTAAATGTTTCTTTTGTCTTTCTGACTCAAAAATCTTACTTTTTAGAAATAATTTTTGGTAGTAATTGCCCTTAGAGAAGTGGTATAGAAGAGTGGGAAAGTACAGCTTAGAGTTAGATCTGGGTTTTAAAAGCCAGTTGTCCTAATTATTAGCTGTAACGTGTTCCCTGGTGTATTAACTGGGGCTCATGATTCCTACTTCACATGGCAGTTAAAGATTCGCTGTGTATGTAAAGCACTTGGCACAGTTCCTGGCACATAGTAGGCAGGCAATAAATGGTAGCTGTTTCTGTTTTAGTGAAAGCCTGTTTCACAGCATTAGCTGTTACATCTGGAGTTTTCATTCCTATGCAAGCATGAGAATTAGTCCTTTTATGTTTGCCTTATTTCTTTTTTTTGTGTTAAATAGTATTTACATTTTCCCCTGAGCTTACACATCACTACTTTTTTCCTTATTTATCCATTTCATAATTAGTATTTATTTGTTAGTTATTAATGATTAAGGAGTTCCTTAAAATTTTTGGTATTGCTATTGTATTTAAACATTTTTAAAAATGACACAATTTGAAGATTGAATGTGTACTTGTTCTTCGTGCATTTCTTCCCTGTCATTTTTTGTTACAGCATGAAATAATCTTTCATTCAGCCTTTGGAGTGTGGATACAAGTGTTTTTTTATTCATTTGGTGAACAGGCAAGAAAAGGGACATTTGTAAAACTATTGCGATGGGAATAAAGTTGTTATAAATAAGCAAATAGCTAAAAGCTTATCTATTTTTGTCGCTAATACCCTTGGGTTAGTTTCCTTTAATAAGAGAAAAATAGATAAAGCAGAATTGTTATGATGTCACAATGTATTTTGAGAATAAACAGACATGCACAGATTGGAAAGTGTGATGAAAGTCTGGCTTCTGGTTTTCTGTCAGGTGTCGTCTGGAGATCGAAGTGCCCTGTGGGCTTTGCTTACCTTCTATGGGGGGGACTGCCAGCTGACCCTCAACAAGAAATGTACACATTTGGTTGTTCCAGAACCAAAAGGGGTAAGCATTTCGTACGCATCTCTTTTTTATATGTCATTCAAGTATTTCCAGTCGTCAAATATCTTCTTTGAGGTTTTTAAAAATTATTAGATTCCATTTACAAAAGGTAATTTGTATTAGTTTATATTGTTTATGCCCATCTTCATTCCACAAATGATGTGAGGTGATTGATTATAAATTTTATTGTGAGCCAGATGTGATTTCTAAATAAAAAGATAATCAAGTTTATTTTAAGTTACTATGAAATAAACTTTTGTGAATCTGGAATTTCCTTTCAAATCCAGTAAAGCTTCAGTTCATTTTTATTTGTGAAATTCCATCTTTTTAGTGCTCTTCACAATTTTTAAAGAGACCTTGTACTGGGTATGATTATAAACACGCCTCTGGTGAAGTTTTCAGTGTAATTTCCTTCACAGTCATCTAGAACATATGTATAGCTACATTTATGTTGGTGATCACAGGGCTCTTATCTCTTTAAGTACTGGTGGGTGGGGCCTCAGAGATCTTGATCCCCATTCTTGTTAGAAATGTGGACTGTCCAGCCTGCCCAGATCTGATGAAGTCAGGCCCCCTGGTGATTCTGACCCTGCCACTGTTTGGGAGCTACTGCTCTGTGGGAATCAATTATTTGTACCTTTGAGATCAAGTATGGTATATTTATAGCAGGAGAGCCCTTTCACCGGTTAATTTCCCACATATCAGTCCCCGCACTCGCTCCGCCTGCCTCCGGCCTGTGTGTCTGCCTGAGTGTGAGGACCCGCTGCAGGGGGAGATCCCGGCAGTGTGCAGGGCGTGGCCCGGGGCTGGGGCCCGCTCAGGGCGCGAGGCTGGCACTGACCTCCCTGGCTGAGAAGGTCCCTTCTGTAGGCCCTTTGAAACTAAGCAGAGGCGATCTCTAGGTATATGGTATTGGTCATGCTGGTTTCCTAGCAAGTAAATAGTTTTGAGCCCGTGAGTTTGGGTATAGCTTTTTGTGAGTCACACAATCCAAGAAAAAACTTTCTCTGAAAATTTTAAGATGGGACTCTTAGAATATATTTAAGTAAAACTACATTTTGCATGACAATTTAAGATACAAAGAGTATGCTTTGGTTAAATAGGATAAGCGTTCTTTTATAACAATATTGATTTTTGGCTAAAAAGAAATTGTTTGATTTTAGGCGGCTAGTTTGAAGGGAAATGAAATCTATAACTTTTGTAACTAGTGAATATTTTTAAAGGGTCAAATGATAACGTAAGAAGCAGTATATGAATAGAGTGGATTTTCCAAACAGACCAAACTGTACACAAAAGTAAATGCCATCCCTTTAAGTATATTGTTTTGAGTATTTTTATGAAGTCGTGGAGAAACCATGTAAAGGTCATAGTGAGACCACCTTTTGTATTCTTGAATTTTAAAAAAGTTTTAATTTAAATTGAGAAGAATGAAGGAATTTAACAAAAAAAACCCAGAAAAAGTATGTTTCTTTGTTCCTGGGAACTGGTCTGTAGCATTTGCAGAGTCCGCAGTGTAAGTCCTAGCGAGGTGGGAGGCGAGGGTGGGAAGAGAAGCAGAGGCTGCCCAGCCCTGGCCCCCCACTGCCCACACCCCCGCCCCGGTCAGACCCCGCTGTGGAACTCTGAGTCTGTGACGTTCAATGTCATGGTTTTGAGGATTTAAGAATTAGAATAACCGAGCTGGTAAACTAACTCAGGCGAAGACATTTAGCACTGCTTTGCATTAAGGTCATCGTTGTTTGGTGACTGTCCTTTCAGGGCCAAAAGCTACTTGTGAGAAGTGAGAGAAAACAAGTGAAAAAATAGGCAGTTTCCTTCAGTGTTATACTTAGATTTGCATAGAAATAGATCATTTCCCAGTGTGGAGTGCCAGCTTGCACCGGGCCCTCCCTTGTGGTCCTGTGGAACTGGTAGTATGGCATTCCTGGAAGGGGGCGTGATGATACACAGCCTTACACTACTGTTCATGCTTCCTACCAGAATCTGGGACTTTCCATATGTAAACAATTGAGGATATGTGTGTAAAGATTTAACTCCAGGTCATCATGACAGCAAAACACTGAAACCCTAGAAATCTCTAGAATGGGAGTATCATAACGTATATAGTTATAATAATAAAATAACAACAACTGAATAATAACCCCTGACTGGCTCCATTGCACAGCCATGCAGCAGGCGAGCATGAGGACATTTGAGTAAGTCCTGGGTGGGAGGTGGTATCAGCAGCCAGAGTGGGTGTCAGTGGTGGGCGCTTAGCAGTTAGAGACACATACACAGAGGCGTGGAGGAGGTGGGGGAAGCAGGATTTGCAAAGGGGGCCAGTAAGTGAGGCTGGTTGATGGGCACAGGGACTGTCTTACCACATCGCTCAGCTCTGCAGTGTGTCTAAAAATGGACATCATAAATTTTAAAAACAAAAGTGCTATGTAGAAGTATACATATTGGCATTTATACTCACATTAAGTAAAAAGAGCACATTATAAAGTATTTGTATGTTGTGGCGATCATGGGGCCTCCCTTCACCTTTTAAAGATATGTACTCATGTTTGTAACAAAAACAAGACCACACACTGAAAATGTTAATTGTGGTAATCTCTCCTCAGTGTGATCATGATTACATTCATTTTACTTTTATTCATGTCTCTTCTCCAATGAATGACTTGTGCATGTAAAATGTCATTTATGAAAGTCCTTTAAGACTACTTTCCAGGCATGTGACCATCCACGCTGGATCGCTGATGAAGGGTTGAGTTTAGCTCATGTCCTTAAGCCAAAAGGAGCTGAACGAAGCGTATCCTGTGTGTGCAATGGCAATGACCGGTGCTGGACGTGTCCCCACATCCCTGTCCTCCAGGTCTTTCCTTAGTGCACAATTCCAGGCAGTGATAAAACTCACAGTGCTGTTCTTGTGTGCGTGTGTGCTTCACTCACAGGAGAAATACGAATGCGCTTTAAAGAGGATAAGCATTAAGATCGTGACGCCGGACTGGGTCCTGGACTGCGTGTCCGAGAAAGCCAAGAAGGATGAAGCACGCTATCATCCCCGCCTGGTTATCTATGAGGAGGAGGAGGAGGAGGAGGAGGAGGAGGAGGAGGCGGCAGAAAACGAGGACCGAGAATCCCACAATGAGGGCAGTTCAGACGAGAAATCAAGCCCTGCCAGTTCTCAAGAGGGGTCCCCCTCAGGTGACCAGCGGTGTTCGCCCAAGTCACACACTGAAAAAGCCAAAGGGGAACTGATGTTTGATGATTCTTCGGACTCGTCGCCTGAAAAACAGGAGCGGAATTTGAACTGGACGCCCGCCGAAGTCCCTCAGACAGCTGCGGCCAAGCGCAGACTGCCCCCTGGGAAGGAGCCCGGGCTGATTAACCTGTGCGCCAGTGTGCCGCCCGCCCCGGGTAGCGTCTTGCCACCGGAGGTCCGGGGCAGTCTAATGGCTTCAGGACAAAATCTCCAAAGTTCTGAGAGATCGGAAATGATAGCTACCTGGAGCCCAGCTGTGCGGACCCTGAGAAATATTACCAATAATGCTGACATTCAGCAGATTAACCGACAATCAAATGTAGCACATGTAAGTCACTCTTTTGGAACAAAAATGTTAATACTGGGTTTTAGAATTGGATTTTACAGTCTGTTCCAATATGGTTTTATTTTCTGCTTTGTCAGGATAGTTAACTTACAAGCAGTGTTTGTGTACTTGCTTTACAGCCTTTTATGTCTGTTTGTGTGTATATGTATTTCAGTGTTATAGTTCTACCACAAAAGCAGGTACCACAAAACCCAGGTTGAAGGCCTAATGCTGCTGAGGAAACCAGGATATCAGTGAGGGGGTGCTCACCCCTGAAGGAGGGCTTCCTCTGATGGCTTAACATCAACAGTGGCAGCAAAGAGAAGGATCCTTATTTGCATATAATGAACTCCATGGTAGACGAACAAAATGACTCATTCACTGAAGGATCCCTAGTCTCAGTTTATACTATTATGATTGGAGCTTGTTGATATAGAATGGGCCTTACAAGTTTTCCTTGAAGTTTTTCAATTTAAGACAGAAAGAAGGTAGTCAGCTGGCATATTACCCGCTGTTTGCATTTTTGCCGGGCCTGGAGATGAAATGGAGAATAAGAAAGTCCTGGCCCTCGTGGCAGGTGGAGAAAATAGACAGGAAGTGTTCTCACAGACGGAGGAGAGCGGGAGGGCTGGGGTGGCGCAGGTGTCCTAAAGGCAGCACCAAGCGTCGTGTAATAGCAACTGGGGGACGGAAGCTGTTTCAGACTGGGTGGTCAGCGAGGACCTCCCAGTGCTGGCATCAGGGTTCCGTGGCAGGGAGGCCTGGGAAGGACCGAGGGTTCCAGCCAACAGGAGCAGCAAGTAGGAGGCCCCAGCCGAGGGCGTGGGCCTGCTGTGCGGCAAGGGAGGCAAGCCCGTGACACCGGAACTGGCGAGACGGGGGGATGCGGATGCTCAGGGGTCTTCCTACACGGCTTGTGCTGTCCACTGTGAGAAGCGTGCTCCTCTGAGGGAGCCACTGGGCTTGGGAAAGGGTGACCATGTACCCTGTATTTCTTCTTAAAAATCGTATTGTCACAATTGAGTATGACAGTGGGGGTGGTTTAAAAAAATGTTTTCTCCCTTCCCTTCATCCCTCCTCTCTCCATGTAGCAATACATAATCGTTCGTACGGGGTTCCTGGGACACTGGGGGGTGGGGGGCTGGTGTCCAGCACAAGGTAGAGCAAAGCTCATCTTCAGACATAAGAGGGGAGAAAGAGAGGACAGGTTGAGCAAGGTGGGGAGTGTAGGGGAAGAGAGGGGAGGGAGCCAGGGATTTGAGGAGAACGGGAGGTTCCAAGGTCACTGATCAGGAGATGCAGGGAAGACACTATTGCTGGGCCTGGCTCCGACGCAGTTTGGGGTGGTGGCCCAGCTTAGGACATTAGGAAGGGTGGATAAGATGGAATCGATCCCAGCCCTGCAGAAGGAAGAGGGGCCAGGGGAGATGGGGCCAGGTGTGATGGTGACCAGGAGGGAAGAGCAGATTGGGTCAGAGCTTGGCGTATTGAACCAGTGGCTCTGGAGGTACAGATGGTGGGGAAGTGAGCGCGAGCTTGTATACCAGCAACCGAGAGGTCACCTTCTGCCCAGTGTGTTTCGTTTGGTCCAGTAACTTATTTGCCCAAATCCTGAGATTCTCCATAAAAATGGGATTTGTGAACTATCTCGATAAGTGGACAATGTGATAAGACGCTGAGTTGGTGTTTTGAAGTCTGGGACCAGCCCTTATGGCTGAATGGCAGCTGCCCTTTGCGAAAATGACCCCCTTGTGCTCAGTTCCCACTCCCCATGCCTTATTACCTCTGTGCCATCATCCTGTCTGTGACCTGCCTGTGCCCTGGAGCTGAGTTTTAGTTTGTGACCAAGTGCTGTCTGGAAGGTGACTGGGAGTGAGTGGCTAACGGGATGGGAAGGTTCCTGAGATTAAAGCATCAAAGAGCACAGGGCTGGGGTTCCTCAAGTGATGTCTGTGCTCAAGTGGGGTCACTGAAGATAAGGGAGAAGATGCAATGCAAAGAAAGAGCAGTTTGCCTGCCTTTCAGGGCTCAGAGGTCCATGGGCATCAGCACCCAGGATGGGGAGTGGCTGGTAATGCCGCAAAGTAAAGCCCAGCACAGCAGAAGGCTGCAGGGGTAGGGGTGGGGGTGGTAGGGGCTTGGGGGATCTTTGGTGGGTGGCATCAGGGGACAGTCTAGAGGCAGTGGGGAAGAAACTTGGAATGAGATGGGGGACCTGCCACTGAGGGGGACTGCACAGTGCACCAGTTTCAGGGAGGCCACCTGGACGAGTGGGCGCCTCGTCCTGCCTGCAGGTGGAGATGCAGGCTGGGCCCTGAAAAAGCTCGCCTCACAGTCGTGGGAGCTAAATGAGCCCCTGCAAAGCTCTGGCAGCCCAGGAAATGCTACTTCCTCCTTTCTTTAGTCGAGTTATGAACAGAAGTCATCCATTTGAAATAGAATGGCGATGTTCTCTGCTCCTCATTTACTTGCAGTGTAAGAAGCACTGGTGATCAGTTACTGGTCATTTCTATTCTAGTGCATATTTTTAAAATACAGTGGGTGTTGGTTTAAATCCCAAGCTCTCTAGATTTGTATTTGGATATGGAGATAAAATAATCCCATTTGGAATGGAAATGAGTGGTCACACCAGGGAGTTTGGGTACATCTGCTTTTGAAATCATCCTTCAGGTAAGACGTCCTTGGAAGACGGACTTGACCGCTCAGCTGGGTGCCCTGGGGGAGGGGCACTGGGAGGCGCCCGTCCCGTGATGAGTGGGCTTGTTCACTGATAAGAATAAGTTGGAAAGGGGTTTCTGAGAGTTTTTCAGCAATGAAAGAACATTAGGATATTTTGCTGCTAGATGTAAAGAAAATGAATTTTTGAAATGTTAGAAACATAAGACAGATTTAATTTAAAATTAACTTAGGGAGTTGGGGAAACCACTGAGCACCAAAATCCTGTTTGAATTGCAAAATCTCCCAGTTAGGAGCCATGTGGTAAATATCATAATGCTTTAGATATTATGGCACTCAATGTTAAGTCATTTAAATAACGACCATGGCAATTACTAAAGAGAAACTCAGACTTCACAGTCATTAAAAATGGTTGTTTGCAAATGTGGCAAATTACATGATCAGTTACAGATCTTACTTTTTCCTTTGATCCTTCAGGACTAAGGTATGTTTTCAGCCAGAGGCAGCTCAGAGGGTTGAAAGGGCATGGGAAGAACACAGACGGTGTTCCCACAGCCGTCTCCCTGGCTGGCCCAGTCGCAGCCAGGCTCGGTACAGTTGGTTCCGCCTACCCGGGCCTGCCAGGCCCCCACCCCTCCCACCTTCCTTCCCGGCCTTGGCCTTCCTCCCCTGCCAGGGCTCTTGGCTTGAGTCTGCGTCCGCTCAAAACTGCCCTCCAGTCACACCTTGGCTTCTCACCTGCTCAGATCGCAGTCACCCAGACAGAGGACAAAGCTCATCCCCCTGGCCTTCTGGAGATGGTTGCTGAGGAACAGCCCGTGGCTCCAGGCACTCCTGCTGGCCCTTCTAGCTGAGCTCCCCTTTGTCCGGGTGGCGGTGCAGGAGCAGCCTCTCCCATTGTGGTGGAGAGGTGTTCTTTTCCTTATCTCCTGTCAGCTTTAGATGGGTGGTTTGCTTCTATGGATGAGAAATGGTATATGTGCAACATGAAATTCAAGTGCGGCAAAACCCTGTAAAGTGATGAATGCCCTCCCCTCGCAACTGCCGCCTCCTCTGCAGAGGCGGCCACGGTCCCTGGGGTCCCTGACTGTCCTGAGTACGCGCGCACAGGCCTGAGCCCCCTCCCTGCCGCGTGCTTTCTTACTGAAATGGCGGCACCCAAACACTGCTGCTGCTTGGACGCAGCACGGGGTGGGGCTCACATCCCTTGCCACTTCACTGGACATTTTAAAAATACTTCTGAGCAAAGAGAAGAAATAGTTGCCCTGTTCCTTACAAATTTGTTTAGTTTTTTTTTTTTTTTTTTCTATTTAGAACTCAACTGAAGAGTTTGTGATGTACTGAAAGAACCTCCTTATGGAGTTCTCTTATCAGTAAGGTGATCCCAAAGGCTTGTGCAGCCAAGCTCTGAAGTGTGACTGACTTGTTTTAAACTCAGTTGTTCTGTCACTAAATCCAGTCTGCTACCCTGGCCAATGATATAACCTTTAAGTTTTGGAGTCTGTTTAGGTGGAGAATATATGTTAAGAACATGTTAGAGATTTTCATCTAGCTCTGGTTTACATTAAAATTGAATTTCTAGAGTTCTATTTAAATGACAAGTATGCCTTTAATAGGATTTGGTTGTGTTGAGTTTTAGTAAAAATCTCTTTGATTGTTCCTGGTTTCCATGACCATTAAAAGTTCATTTCTGATTTTTGTTACTTGAGTATATTGGAAAAAATTCATTGTGTAACACATTCTTTTGTTTTATTTAGTGCCGTGCAGGACAATCAAATAGCCTGTAGTCCGATACCGTGCTTGGTGGTGTCTGCTGGTTGCCTGTCCTGTCCCCTCTCACCCCCTCAGCTTACCCGGAGTTCTCAGTTTACCCCTGCCTTTGTAAGCGGAATGAGCTAGAAGGGAAAGAGTCTGACTGGTAGGATTTTCTCTGACTTGAACCGTGTTGGCTGCTGAGAGCCCAGGCTGTTCTTGAGGACGGCTAATTCAGCAGTTTGCTGGTGATTTCTTGGTGGTGGGGAGTGCTTATCATTTAAATGAACCTCCTATGAGTATGTTTTCTGTGCCCTGCTTGTGCAGCATGCTGGGACACTTGAGGGTGACCACAGATGGCAACAGGCTGGCGGCCCTACTGAGGTTCGCTGTCTGGGACAGCGTTGCCCTGTGCCTTCACCTGGGAGGGCGGCTTCGTGCTCACCTCTTGCTGCAGCCCATTCTTGGTTGGAAAATGGCAGCCATGGAAAGGAGGCCTGGGTTAGGCCGAGGCTGATGCCAGCTGCCTTTGCCGCTCATTGTTCCCAGGGGCATCCCTTAGTTGGGGAGGGCCTTGGGGGGACAGGCGGGTATCCCCAGCAGGTCCTGCCTACTCACTCGAGGTGGCAGGGTGGTGCTCAAAGGCCTGAGAGGCAAGTAAGGCAGAATGCATTGTTTGCTCTGTAAAACACACAGTCCAGATGGGCTGGTATGTCTGCCAGCTTTAATTCAGTAGCTTATTCCATTTTCCTTACTCAGTTCCAGATTTTGGTGGTCTCAAAATATGAACTTACGATGTCACTGAGGTTAGTGATACTTAACATATACAGAAGGGAAGTGAAGTGTTGGGTTGCAGCGTCGGTTCCCTGCCCTCTAGGGGACAGTGAGGCGGGCACGATGTCCTCTGACTCAGCCAGATGCACGAGGATGTCTCAGTGACTGTGGGCAGTGATGCGGCCCAATGCTTGTCTTGTAGATCCTGCAGTCACTCTCGGCGCCAACGAAGAGCCTAGAGCAGCAGGTGGTGCCCGGCCAGCAGGGCCACACCAGCGCCAGTGCTGTTCTCTTCGGCCAGGTGAAGGTGGCCGCAGAGCCGCAGCCGCAGCCCCCGGTGCTGCACCTCCCAGCCCAGCAGGTCCTGCAGCTCCAGCAGCCGCAGCCGTACCCCCAGCCGCAGCCGCACCCTTTCCCGCCACCACAGGCCCATCAGCACCCCTTCCCGCAGCAGCAGGCCCTGCAGCAGCAGCTGCATCAGCTGCAGCAACAGCAGCTGCAGCAACAGATGCAGGCACAGCTGCAGCACCAGCAGCACCCCCTGCAGCAGCCACAGCGCCTGCACCCGCAGCAGCAGCACCTGCACCCGCAGCAGCACGCGCACCCGCAGCAGCAGCACCCGCAGCAGCAGCACCCGCACCCGCACCCACAGCAGCAGCTGCAGCACCCGCACCGGCCCCTGCAGCTCCCGCTTCCGCTCTTCGGACACGACCCGGCCGTGGAGAGTGAGTGATGCGCTCCCTGGCCCCTGGCCACTTGCACCAACGCTGTGCCAGGGGTGGGCAGGGCCTCCAGGTGGGCGGGCCGCCCGTGGGAGCCATTAACCCGTGCAGGCTGAACTCAGAATGAACTTCCTTAGTGTTTGTACATAAATACTCAGGAGGTTTTAATCCTCTTTTTCTGTATGTAATTGATTCTTTTCTAGTTCCAGAAGACTGCTTCTTACTGGGATGCGTGTTTGCGGTCGCAGATTATCCTGAGCAGATGTCTGATAAACAGCTGCTGGCCACCTGGAAAAGGGTGAGGCTGCGCCTGGAGAGGAGCCTGCGCCTGAGGGCTCTTCCCTCGCGTGCAGACCCAGCTGCGGCCGGCTGCCTTCTCCCCACACGTTCTCGTGCATCACGGGTGTTGTGACAGTTGCTGTGACTTTGGGAGGGTCACTGTTCTGGGCTTCAGTTTTCGTAGCTGAGGGAAAATGTTGGATTTATCATTCTTAAGACTCAGCTCTGAAATTCTAAGGGGCCCAAATTGCATATAATTGAGGATGTGGGAGCGAGGTCAGGTTCAGGTGATGTGGGGCAGGGACGGTCACATTCGTGGCATCATTGCCGTCTTCGGAGGCAAAGCGAGGGGCCCAGACCACAGGGCCAGTGGGGCTGCAGCCCGTTCGCTCGTCACTTTGCATGGCGGCCGTCAAAGAAGTGAGCGCTTGCAATGCTGCACGTCAAAACCGAGTCACAATTATTTCTTTAAATGAGCTTAAGTATGGTTCAAATGCATCTTGATGTGCTTCCCTGTAAGCATCCTGGGGTTTGAACCCCTACTCTATGCTGTGCGTGCCTCGGGGGCAGTGGGCACAGGATGGCAGGAGAGCCGGGAGCAAGGCCAGCCGCTGTCCGGCAGGGGGAGTCGGCGCCCCAGGAAGTCTCCTGGGGGTCGGGCTTCCTGGACTCAGTCTTACAGGACGAGGAGTGGGAACCAGACGAGGATGTCCCAGGGAGCAGTCCGGACTGGGGGAAAGCACATGCCCCTCAGGGATGTCCAGGAGGCAGCGAGGTCAGGGCACGGAGGCCAGGTCAGGCCTTCTAAGACCTGCCTTATATGCCCTTTTGTGAAAATTGGCGTTTTCTCCATGGAGCCTTTAAAGCATATAGAAAAAGGGAGGTGTACATTTTACATTGTGAAATGTTGAATTAAGGGGGACAGGTTGATGGCTGTGTTGTTGGCCAGAGATGTCAGCTGCCTGAACTGGACAGTGGTCAGTGGGGAGAGAGGGAGAGATCTGTTTGAGAATCACAACAGCAGGAATTTTTTTTAAATCATGGAGGTCTTAGAAGACAATGTTTAGAAACTCTCCTTTAAAAAAATAGGACATAACTCAAAAATATAAAAGAATTTGTTTTTGTAAGTTAAAGGATTAGTCCAAGAGGTCCAACATTAAATAATAGCATGAAAATTTTAAGTAGCTTAGAACTGAAGGACACATTTCCCAGATTGAAAAGCATGGTGAGACAGCCTTGTTTAAGTTCAGAGTGTACAAGTGGGGAATCATGCAAAGCTCAGCAGCAAGGTTTAAAGATTAGGAATTGGAAGGGTGTCAAGAGGGGCTAGAAGACAGTTGATCTGTGTCTTCAAAATTCTGAGGAAAAGAAATTTCCAACCCAGAATAACATCCACCTTGTCAATTAAGTGACACTGGAATAAAGATTAACAGACTTCCAGTCAAAAAAAAGTACCTTCCACGTGCTCATTCTTGGAAGACACTGCCAACAGAGGAAGGTGAGGTGGCCAAGAATGGGGCTCTGGTGCAGAGATGGAGGGGACGAGGGCAGAGAGAAACTGCAGACAGACGTGAGCAGCAAGACAGGAGCTGGCCAGAACTAGAGCAGGAAGATAGCCCCAGGAGAGCAGAACCGGCGCTGCCGATGACTGGATCTGCCTTACTGGGGAAAGAGAGGGGCACTGTTTTAGTTCTCTGTTGCTGTATGACAAACTTCCCCAAAACTCAGGGACTTAATACAGCAAATATGGTTGTCTCAGTTTTCTTGTGGGTTAGAAGCCTGGGGAGGCTTAGCAGTGGCTGGGTGGCTGGCAGCTGGGCTGCCCCATCTGGGCAAGGCTGGGGTTGGAGCCTGTCTGGTGGACTGCCAGCAGGGATGCATGGTGCTGGCATCCCCCACGTGCAGGGCCTAAGGCAGGGTCGGGGGGAATCCCAGTTTCTCTTACGACTTTGGGAAGTCACTCGCTGTCAGAGCCACCATGTTCTGTCGGTGAGAAGAGGGTCAGGAAGTCCAGTCCATGCCCAAGGCTTGGAGACTCAAGCTCTAATGCCTGGAGGAAGGGGTGTCTAAGAGCTTGTGGACATATTTTTAAAACACCACATTACCCTTCTTTGAAGAATCCGGGAATGTAATAGTGAAAGCACATAAGAAACAACAAGACGGGAGGCACGTAAGGCAGTATCAGCCTTGGAGAGGAGAGCAGATCGCACAAGAGAGGCACGCCGCCCTCACCAACCAGCGCTGAACTACACTGTAGTGAGTCCCAGAGACTAGGCTTGGCCTACTGGCCGCAGAGCCAAGTTAGGAAGGCCGGGTGGGGGGGTGTCCTAGGTAGGAGGTCAGTAGATAGTCTCTTGGAACACAAGAGTATAAAACGTATCAGGGGGACTGTGTTAGTAAGTCCTGAAGAAGCAGCTGAAGAGCTGAACATGATTGCTTGGGGGATGGAAAAAAGGATGAGAAATTGCTCTTTTTGTCATAAGCTTATTAAAGCATTTCTGAATTGCTGTAATAAAAATATGAAAGTAAAGCAGAATCGTTTTGTAGGGCAGGCCTTTATTTAACATACTGTAAAATTTCCCCTTTTTGGCATACATAGTTTTGGATATTTTGTTGAACGCACTATTGGAATTTGACAATATACGAATGTAACCACCATGATCAGGCACAGAACAGTTCCGACACCCAAAAAACTGAATTTGTTTTAAAAAATAAATTTCGGTGTTCACTACTTCAATTTTCTCTTTCAGTATAATGGTTTTTAACAGTGGTGATCCTGTCCCCAGGCAGTGTTTTGCAGTATCACAGCTGGGGTACTATGGTCTCTGGTGGGTAGAGGTCAGGGACTCTGTGGACGCCCTCCAGGGCACAGGACTGCCATCTGCAGCTCAGAATAAGCTGCTCTGAAATGTCCATAGTGCAGGTCGAGAAGCCCCGTTTTAGAGAGTATTCCATATTCTCTTTCCCTCCGGAAATTCAGATTAAATGAGTGCTGGAGTTTATTTTCATTTCATACTACTGGGTGGAAAAATCCTTAAATGTAATTGCTATGGACTTCAGGGAAAATTATAAATATAAATATGTGATGGATTCCTTTAATAGCTGTCTTGCTTGAAATTGTAATTCTGCTCTGTTGTCCCAAGTGCACAAAGCCAATTGGGACTCTGGGCCTTGTGTGTGTCTAGATCATCCAGGCACATGGCGGTGCTGTGGATCCCGTGCTCTCCGGTCGCTGCACACACCTCCTCTGTGAGAGCCAGGTTAGCGGCATGTATGCACAGGTGAGTGCAGGACCTCCCCCAGGCCTGCCACCAAGTCCAGCCCTTGTTATATGGACCATTTTAGGATTCTCATGATCACTGTGTTTGGAAAGGACTTCTCTGCTGCTAAAAATAGGGAAATCTCTTCTTACTTTAGACCTTTGGTGGGATATATACTTTTGTGGACATCAGGCTTTTGTGTCATTGAGCCTGAGAAAGGGAGTGAGATTACAGGTGGTGGTAAGCAAAAGGCAGGCAGTCCTTCCACTCCAGTTGAGCAGTACTGATGGAGTGGGTGTGGAGGCAGGATTCCCCACCTGAACATGATGGCGGGATTTCCCATTGCCCCCCCACCCCCTGGTTGGGCACAGAGGCAGGCAGGATTTCCCCCCTGCTGGACATGGAGGCAGGCAGGATTTCCCACTGCTGGGTGCGGAGGCAGGGTTCCTCTTGCTGGGTGTGGAGGCAGGCAGTATTTCCCATTGCTGGGTGTGGAAGCAAGATTTCCCACTGCTGGGTGCAGAGGCAGGCAGGATTCCCCACCGCTAGGCATAGTGGCAGGATTACTCACTCCTGGGCACGGAGGCAGGATTTGCCCCCACCCCCTGGTTGGGCATGGAGGCAGGCAGGATTTCCCACTGCTGGGCTCAGAGGCAGGCATGATTCCCCCCTGCTGGGCATGGAGGCGGGCAGGAGTCCCCACTACTGGGCTTGGTGTCAGGATTTCTTTCCTGTTGGGCTTGGAGGTGGGCAGGATTTCCCACTGCTGGGCTTGGTGTCAGGATTTCTTCCCTGTTGGGCATGGAGGCGGGCAGGGTTTCCCACTGCTGGGCTTAGAGGCAGGATTTCCTGACTGCTGGGTGTGGAGGCAGGATTTCCCCCACCCCAGCTCTGGGCATGGAGGCAGGCAGGATTCCCCCCTGCTGGGTGCAGTGACAGGGTTTCCCACTGTTGGGCTTGGAGGCAGTATTTCCCCTGCTGGGCATAGTGGCAGGATTCCCACTGCTGGGCAACACCGTGAGAGCTGGAAGACCTGACGGGCACACGCCAACCCTTCATGCTGCCTCATCTCTCTCCTGAAGATCTTTCTCTCTTTTCTTAAAAATATTCTTATTTGTAGACAGAATGAAGTTAATGTGTATTGATAAATGACCTCCGAGAAACTCCTCAAAGAGTATGGCCATTTATTGGATCTACTTTTCAACTGAAAATGTAGAAATACTTGAGAGGTTTTTTCTATGGTCTATTTTAGGTGGGCGATTATATTTTTTCATTACTTGTGGTATGTGGGGCCCTCTATTTTTAATGGGGGGGTTTCATTTTGATGATCATAAACATCATTTCATGATTAAAGTTATGTTTGAAGTTGTTATAAAATATGTATCCTTTTATCCCCTGTTGCAGGCCCTTGTTCATATGTAGGTAGTAATATTTTCACCTTGTGCTAAAATTAACTTGCTAGGCTCTTATAGTTTGTTACTTAAGAAAATTGAATGTGAAATGTCCTGAAATTCTGGTAGGGGTTCCAATAAAGGTGGTATTGTAGTTATACAGCCTTACAATTTTGTATTTCATCCCACAGCTAAAAAAATACCCCACAGCAACAGACTTGTAACTTTCTGTTTGGTAGGCGATTAGAGAAAGGAAGAGATGTGTTACCGCACACTGGTTAAATACCGTCTTGAAGAAGAAGAAAATGGTGCCGCCTCATCGAGCCCTTCATTTCCCGGTGGCGTTCCCCCCAGGAGGAAAGCCGTGTTCTCAGCACGTAAGGCAGCTCATTCCTTGGGCTCTAATCACCTGCTGACTTCCTATGTCGTTTATCGGCCTCTGAGTGGCATCTTCTGAGTACCTTGGCCAGCCTGGTTCACAGGTGCCCGAGCAGAGTAAACGTACTTCCTTTACTCCCCAGGAATAGTTTCCTGCACATAGTAGATGTAACTGGTTCTCCAAGATCTTCAATAATGTTTGAAATTCTAAAATAAATCAGGTATCTTGCAGCAGAAGCAGCCACTATTGATTGGACAGAGCTTTATCTATAGCTCTTAGACTGTTCCACACAAGCAATCTCAAAATTGGGATTGTAGGGAGAATGAAAGACTGATATTTATATGCCTAAAAAAATCACTTTGTCAAAGGGATCTGAAGAATGTTGTATTAACATGAAAAAGACGACTTCCCATTTGGTTTTCTCACGCTCTTTTTTCTTCCTCCCGTGATGAGCGCATGTGTACCATTTGACTATTAACATCATGCTGGTTTTGACGTTCATAGTAATGGTACCAGCAGGTATCTCCCTGCTGCCAAGGAAAGAATGGAAGGGTCTGTGTGTGTGTAAAACAGCTAAGAGGAGAAGAAAGGGTGTGTGGGCTCCATTGTCTTTGTGTCTTGATCTTGTTTGCTCTTGTTTTCCTTAGATTATTTCTGTGACTGGATTTGTCAACAGTGACAGAGATGACCTAAAGCTAATGGCTTACCTGGCAGGTGCCAAGTACACAGGCTACTTATGCCGCAACAACACGGTGCTCATCTGTAAAGAGTAAGCAGTTCTGACACCATCTTTAGTTCCATTCACACACAGCATAGTGACTGTTTGAACAGTCCCATATTTCCTAGTGTATCACCGCTGTGTGATGGGAACCTGAAAACCAGGCTGTTGAAGGAGTGGCAGTGACCTTCCCGATGTTAGCCGAGAGAGCTCTGCAGCGTTTGAGCGGTGTTGCATAACTTAGTGGGATTTGAATTAGGTTAGGGAGCAGGAATAAGGACTAGCAGATGACCTGTGATCCAGTGTGAGCCGCGAAGTAAAATTAAATTGCCACGGGGGTCTCATAGCTGGGCTGAGATAGCCCTGCCCTGTCTGTCCCAAGAGGGTGTTTTTGTTGGCTTCTGTTGAAAATAAATATGTATTTGGACAGTAGATAGCTAATATTTAATAAATCTGCTTTCTCCTTAAAAAACAAAACCATAAAAGACCCACTGGTTTAAAGTATGAAAAAGCCAAAGAGTGGCGGATACCGTGCGTGAACGCCCAGTGGCTGGGTGACATCTTGCTGGGGAACTTTGAGGCCCTGCGGCTGATCCAGTGCAGCCGCTACACCGCCTTCAGCCTGCAGGACCCGTTTGCCCCCACCCAGCACCTCGTTTCGAATCTTCTGGGTAAGTGGAGCCTCACAGGTCTCAGCTTTGCCGATGAAGTTACCAGGCGTGGGTTCCCTGCCTTTTGTTCATCCCAGCCACTGAGTCGGTTTCTCATTCGCGTCCTGTTGCCCATAATTGCTATGGACTTCAGGGAAAATTATAAATATAAATATGTGATGGATTCCTTTAATAGCTGTCTTGCTTGAAATTGTAATTCTGCTCTGTTGTCCCAAGTGCACAAAGCCAATTGGGACTCTGGGCCTTGTGTGTGTCTAGATCATCCAGGCACATGGCGGTGCTGTGGATCCCGTGCTCTCCGGTCGCTGCACACACCTCCTCTGTGAGAGCCAGGTTAGCGGCATGTATGCACAGGTGAGTGCAGGACCTCCCCCAGGCCTGCCACCAAGTCCAGCCCTTGCTATATGGACCATTTTAGGATTCTCATGATCACTGTGTTTGGAAAGGACTTCTCTGCTGCTAAAAATAGGGAAATCTCTTCTTACTTTAGACCTTTGGTGGGATATATACTTTTGTGGACATCAGGCTTTTGTGTCATTGAGCCTGAGAAAGGGAGTGAGATTACAGGTGGTGGTAAGCAAAAGGCAGGCAGTCCTTCCACTCCAGTTGAGCAGTACTGATGGAGTGGGTGTGGAGGCAGGATTCCCCACCTGAACATGATGGCGGGATTTCCCATTGCCCCCCCACCCCCTGGTTGGGCACAGAGGCAGGCAGGATTTCCCCCCTGCTGGACATGGAGGCAGGCAGGATTTCCCACTGCTGGGTGCGGAGGCAGGGTTCCTCTTGCTGGGTGTGGAGGCAGGCAGTATTTCCCATTGCTGGGTGTGGAAGCAAGATTTCCCACTGCTGGGTGCAGAGGCAGGCAGGATTCCCCACCGCTAGGCATAGTGGCAGGATTACCTACTCCTGGGCACGGAGGCAGGATTTGCCCCCACCCCCTGGTTGGCCATGGAGGCAGGCAGGATTTCCCACTGCTGGGCTCAGAGGCAGGCATGATTCCCCCCTGCTGGGCATGGAGGCGGGCAGGAGTCCCCACTACTGGGCTTGGTGTCAGGATTTCTTTCCTGTTGGGCTTGGAGGCGGGCAGGATTTCCCACTGCTGGGCTTGGTGTCAGGATTTCTTCCCTGTTGGGCATGGAGGCGGGCAGGGTTTCCCACTGCTGGGCTTAGAGGCAGGATTTCCCGACTGCTGGGTGTGGAGGCAGGATTTCCCCCACCCCAGCTCTGGGCATGGAGGCAGGCAGGATTCCCCCCTGCTGGGTGCAGTGACAGGGTTTCCCACTGTTGGGCTTGGAGGCAGTATTTCCCCTGCTGGGCATAGTGGCAGGATTCCCACTGCTGGGCAACACCGTGAGAGCTGGAAGACCTGACGGGCACACGCCAACCCTTCATGCTGCCTCATCTCTCTCCTGAAGATCTTTCTCTCTTTTCTTAAAAATATTCTTATTTGTAGACAGAATGAAGTTAATGTGTATTGATAAATGACCTCCAAGGAACTCCTCAAAGAGTATGGCCATTTATTGGATCTACTTTTCAACTGAAAATGTAGAAATACTTGAGAGGTTTTTTTCTATGGTCTATTTTAGGTGGGCGATTATATTTTTTCATTACTTGTGGTATGTGGGGCCCTCTATTTTTAATGGGGGGGTTTCATTTTGATGATCATAAACATCATTTCATGATTAAAGTTATGTTTGAAGTTGTTATAAAATATGTATCCTTTTATCCCCTGTTGCAGGCCCTTGTTCATATGTAGGTAGTAATATTTTCACCTTGTGCTAAAATTAACTTGCTAGGCTCTTATAGTTTGTTACTTAAGAAAATTGAATGTGAAATGTCCTGAAATTCTGGTAGGGGTTCCAATAAAGGTGGTATTGTAGTTATACAGCCTTACAATTTTGTATTTCATCCCACAGCTAAAAAAATACCCCACAGCAACAGACTTGTAACTTTCTGTTTGGTAGGCGATTAGAGAAAGGAAGAGATGTGTTACCGCACACTGGTTAAATACCGTCTTGAAGAAGAAGAAAATGGTGCCGCCTCATCGAGCCCTTCATTTCCCGGTGGCGTTCCCCCCAGGAGGAAAGCCGTGTTCTCAGCACGTAAGGCAGCTCATTCCTTGGGCTCTAATCACCTGCCGACTTCCTATGTCGTTTATCGGCCTCTGAGTGGCATCTTCTGAGTACCTTGGCCAGCCTGGTTCACAGGTGCCCGAGCAGAGTAAACGTACTTCCTTTACTCCCCAGGAATAGTTTCCTGCACATAGTAGATGTAACTGGTTCTCCAAGATCTTCAATAATGTTTGAAATTCTAAAATAAATCAGGTATCTTGCAGCAGAAGCAGCCACCATTGGACAGAGCTTTATCTATAGCTCTTAGACTGTTCCACACAAGCAATCTCAAAATTGGGATTGTAGGGAAAATGAAAGACTCACGCTCTTTTTTCTTCCTCCCGTGATGAGCGCATGTGTACCATTTGACTATTAACATCATGCTGGTTTTGACGTTCATAGTAATGGTACCAGCAGGTATCTCCCTGCTGCCAAGGAAAGAATGGAAGGGTCTGTGTGTGTGTAAAAACAGCTAAGAGGAGAAGAAAGGGTGTGTGGGCTCCATTGTCTTTGTGTCTTGACCTTGTTTGCTCTTGTTTTCCTTAGATTATTTCTGTGACTGGATTTGTCAACAGTGACAGAGATGACCTAAAGCTAATGGCTTACCTGGCAGGTGCCAAGTACACAGGCTACTTATGCCGCAACAACACGGTGCTCATCTGTAAAGAGTAAGCAGTTCTGACACCATCTTTAGTTCCATTCACACACAGCATAGTGACTGTTTGAACAGTCCCGTATTTCCTAGTGTATCACCGCTGTGTGATGGGAACCTGAAAACCAGGCTGTTGAAGGAGTGGCAGTGACCTTCCCGATGTTAGCCGAGAGAGCTCTGCAGCGTTTGAGCGGTGTTGCATAACTTAGTGGGATTTGAATTAGGTTAGGGAGCAGGAATAAGGACTAGCAGATGACCTGTGATCCAGTGTGAGCCGCGAAGTAAAATTAAATTGCCACGGGGGTCTCATAGCTGGGCTGAGATAGCCCTGCCCTGTCTGTCCCAAGAGGGTGTTTTTGTTGGCTTCTGTTGAAAATAAATATGTATTTGGACAGTAGATAGCTAATATTTAATAAATCTGCTTTCTCCTTAAAAAACAAAACCATAAAAGACCCACTGGTTTAAAGTATGAAAAAGCCAAAGAGTGGCGGATACCGTGCGTGAACGCGCAGTGGCTGGGTGACATCTTGCTGGGGAACTTTGAGGCCCTGCGGCTGATCCAGTGCAGCCGCTACACCGCCTTCAGCCTGCAGGACCCGTTTGCCCCCACCCAGCACCTCGTTTCGAATCTTCTGGGTAAGTGGAGCCTCACAGGTCTCAGCTTTGCCGATGAAGTTACCAGGCGTGGGTTCCCTGCCTTTTGTTCATCCCAGCCACTGAGTCGGTTTCTCATTCGCGTCCTGTTGCCCCTGCACGCTCTTCCTTCCCTCCCCGCTCTGGCCAGGGTTTGGCTCGCTGTCTCCCAGAGCCTCTCTCCGTCTTGGCCCTCAAGCCAGTAGCCTGTCCCTCAAAGGGTCACCCCCACGAAGCGCCCCCCATCCTCCCCTAGGTCAGAGTCCAGGTCTCGTCACTTGCCCTCGATTGCCCCACTGTCACAGAGGTAGGGGTGTCACTCTCGTCTCTCCCCCTTTCAGCTGCTCGGAACTGCTGGCGGCATCACCGTCCCGTCTTGCATGTATTAACACACTTAACTGCATGTACTGAATTGAATGTTACCCAAAAAAGGGCGATCCAGACTGCCTCAGTATGCTGTCTGTTAGAGAAGCCCGTTGACTTCCGTTTGGGATGGTTTTGAGCATAAAAGCTCTCCATTTTGAGCCGCGGTCTGCTTCCCTGTGACCTACCTGTTGAGGTGGCTTCAGCTCTGAAACCGTGATGGAGACTAACTACCAGCCCCTGAGGCACGGCCACGCGTGGGAGGCGTGCTTCGCCCTCCCGATGTGTGTGGGCCCCTTGCAACATAAGTGCTTTGCCGGGGCGGGACTGTGTGGCTCCCAGAAATGGTTACCTGGGCGCGCACAGCCGGAGGGGCCCCGGCTCAGGCCCAGTTGACTGTTGGCTGCTGTGTTCCTTCCTGCTGCTTACATGGAAGGTGTGCGGCCATGGGACCCTCGAGCCCCTGCCAGGCAGCTCTTGCTGCCCCTCTTTGCCCTTCACCCTAAGTCGAGTCCTTTACATGTAGCCTTACTAAGTGTCAGCTAAGCCACCTAGGTGTCTAGCCTTAGCCCCAGAAAGGCTTTAAAAACAGGCTTTTATATGTAAACAATGTGTCATTTTACAAATAACATATTTTTCTCTTTAGATGCTTGGAGAGTTCCGTTAAAAGTGTCAGCAGAGTTGTTGATGGTATGTCAAGTTAATAACCATACTTTGGCTATTATTATAAAAATGCAGTAAAGATATATTTGCATTTATGAATTGGAAACTCTTTTATGATTTGTCAATATAACAAACTGGAGGTTATAGCATCTCACCTGTCATAAAATGTTAGGATACACTCGGGCTGCTTTGTTCTCTTACTCAGTGGACTGCCATTCGTTCATATTTACATGTGTGAGTAGCATTCTTTGCATCAGATAACTGTGGGATCTTATGGGATTGGAGGACGGAACACAGGCAGACCACTTCCTGTTTCCGTGGGGTTAGAGGGGCAAGAACCCAGAGCAGCCTTGGGAGACCAGACATGTGACACCCTGCAGACTGTGGGTGAGAATGCAGGGGCCCTGACCTCATGTGGTGGGTACACGGGGTTACATGTCCCAGGTGGGGTCACGCCACGTTGGTTGAGGCTGCTAACACAGTACTCCCAGGATGGCCACTCTGGAAGGTTGAACGCCAGTGGGCGGTCGTCAGGAAACCCGTATGGTGCCCTCTCAGTGGGGGCTGTCTGCTCGCACGACCATCCAGTTTGATGGGTAGATGTTAATTGTTTCTTCCAACTGGCTGCTTTTCCACATTAAATTTCAGTGACTTTTCACTGTAGAATTTCTCTGCTGTTCATTGTTGCTGTCTAACTGCCTGTCACTGTGAAAATGGCAGGATTTGTTGTTGCTCGGTAGCAGTATGGTTTAAGGACTTAGGTTTATGTATGTGTTATTTTTAAATAATGGACTTGTACCATGTGCCCATTGTTTTTCACCACATCCCCCTCAGTTACAGAGGTAATTTGGGGTTTGTCCTCCCGTAAACAGCTGAGGAGAATGTTGTCAGAATTACCAAGTAACACCTAAGCCTAGGTTCTGATTATTAGTGGTCTGGCCTACTCTTTCCAGATCTAACCTGGAAACGGCTGATAATCATCTGGAGTCCTTCAGGCAGCCTATAGGCTGCCGCCTGCTTCCTTCATGCTAATTATAATGTGGCCACATAGGTTTTTGTTTTGCTTTTTTTGCTTGAACTAGTAATTTGATTCTAATAAAACATGAGTAGCTCTGACACATCAGCAAAAGCAAATACTCTCTGAATTCGTTTGGATGAAAGAAATTTTATGGTGGCTGCTAAGGTCAAGCTGAGAAGGTGGGCATCAGAGTCTTCCCCGCCCCAGGCTGCGTGGCTTATTTTCTGAAACTATGTGAGAGCTCCAGGTGTCCATTTCCCCTGCAGCTTTGTATCAGTAAATAAAACTTAGAGACAAGGAGGCCAGTTTACCCTCCTTTAAAAATCCTACCATTTGTTTCTGTCATTGCTACCAATGAGTGCTGATTTGGAGACTTAGATATGGCTGCCGGAAACAGAGAGTTGAGGGGCTGTTCCCTTCTAAAGGCAGTGATGAGAAAACATCTGAAGCCTTCCTGCAAATTATTATAAAGCTTGAGTCTCCATGTCTGAAAGGGCCAATGGAGTTCAGATATTTATTGTAGATATTCTTATGTTTATTTTGATTGTCTTGATACAGCAGCAATATTTAGAAAATACAAGTTTTAGTTAAGGTAAGTTAGTAAGATGGAGAAATACTACTTCAAATAGTGAAACATAAGTAAGTACAGTGTGTGTTGCGAAGAAGCTCAGTGTTAAGATATGAAGAGGCTGGTTGGCAGCCCACGTCACAGCGAGAGCAGCCTTGCCCCTCTTGCCGGCCCAGCATTCGCCCGTCAGGGACACTGTGTGGCCGTTGGAACTTTATCTCGCTCTTCACAGCTGCTGGTCTGATTGTCATGTGACGTCTTTTGTGAAATGTTGTAGGTGAAATTTCTGTTGAGTAATGTAATTGCAATGAGTATGTTTTCCAAATTCCAAATTGGGAGACAAGAACAAATATTTGAAACCACAGCTGTCCTGAAAAGCTGCGGGTGGAGGACTCCCTCTGTGCCATGAGCTGGGGACAGAGAAAGCGACGCCCTCAGGGACCCTGCGGCGCCCCATGGATGGGGGTGCAGAGCATCTGGAGATGGTGCGAGGCTGGCGGAGGGCCGCCCCTGCTCGGGCTCCTTCTGGGCAAATGCGAGTTTCGATGTGGGAAGCATGGGTTTCACATATGATGAGATAATTTTATATTTGACACATAAATGTCTTGGAAGCTATGGTATTACTTGGAAGATTGATCAAAGTAAATAATCTTTTAATTACAGGGTGTTAGACTACCTCCCAAACTAAAACAGAATGAAGTCACCAGCATCCAGCCTTCTTCCAAGAGAGCCAGGTACGAGTAATCACCTTTTCTGTGGCTGCTTAGCTCTTACACGTCTGTTTTAGAAAACGGTGACAATTGGAATGTTTCTGAAAAATTTCAAGTAACTAGGACTTGAAAGGATTTACTTGCTGCTTTATGACCTCGTTGTGATAGGTCTCATTTTACTGCTGGAGATAGACAGTGAGTAGGTCAGCATTTTTCCTTTCTTCTTTATTGGTAAAACAGCCGATTACTGTTTTTAAGTAAAATCTTCCCCAAGCCCTCGTTGTGTAAGACACAAGCTGCTGCCACGGGATGGCGTAGGCGACTGGAAGCCCTCCAGACGTGCGTCCTTGGGCTGTGTCCTGTGCTCCTGGGAGAGCCCGTCCTGCAGCAGGGGGCTGTGTGGCCTGGCCTGTCCCCCTTCCTGGCCCCTCTGCTGAAAGCATGGTGACCAGTGCTGGCCAGGGGGGCGTCCTGCCCATCATGTGATCAATAAGGCAGGTGCGGGAGCAAACCGGGGGCTTGTCTCCATCCGTGGCACGGGAAGCTGTGTTCCCAGCGTGCACGGAGAACTCAGTGTGCGCCTGGGTCTGTGTGGCCGCCGGTCTCCCTTCTGCTCATCCCTCCCTCCTTCATCTCCTTGGCCACACAACCTACCAAGCGTTGACATTTTTAGTAAAATCCTAATTAGTGGTTTATGTTTTCTAAGACTGTCTTCAAAATGCCACAAATAAACTTTAAAAAAGTTTTTCCTGGACTGTCTCAGTTAGAGACAAGTTATGAACAGGATTTGAAAAAACGAGAGGCCGAGAGGCTTAGCTGAAATGTGCACTTGAGTCAGATAGCTTTTTACCCCATGGTGTGAGTAGGGCAGGGCTGGACAGGGTGGGAGCTGAGACGGCGGGAGCCCTGGGCATGCTGCCTCCTACAGCTCTTGGGGATGGGGGGCCAGCATGTCCCAACTGGTCAGGTCAGCAGAGCCTGCGAGGTGGAGAGGATGTCAGTGTCGGCCAACTTGAAGATGTTATGGGGAGCGGTTTGCTGATGAGGATGCGGCGGGGGCTCCGGATGTAAGGAAGCCCGAACCTCTGGGGAGGGCTGTGACGGGGCAAAGGCCGGGGGTAGGGCCCTCACGCATCTTCCCTTTAAGACGCACACACGCTGAGAGCTGTCACGCTTTTTGAGGCCATTAAAATCCCTTGTTTTCCTAAGAACATTTGTAAGCAACTAATAAAATCATTGTTTTGTATGTGTTTACTTTGTAGAATTGAAGATGTACCACCTCCCACTAAGAAGTTCACACCAGAATTGACCCCTTTTGTGCTTTTCACTGGATTTGAGCCTGTCCAAGTTCAACAGTACATTAAGGTGAAGTTCCATTCCACCTCGTGTAAGGGTTTTTAGCAGCGTCCGTTTCTGTATGTATGTGCTTCAGGCTTGCGGTTTATTGGACCGGCATTTAACCAAGGATATCTTACGCAGCTTTTATGGTGTGTGGTGGTGAAGCATCAGCAGTCATTTCACAGTAACAAGCAGCCCTGTGGCTCGTGCCTCCCGGCGTCCGTGCTGCCGTTTCAGTCGGATGCGTGCCCTCCAGGCAGCAGCCGGTGGCTCCACTGGGCGGACCTGGAGCCACTGTGGGGCCGTGCGCCTTTGTCCTTTCTGCTCCTGGGGCGCGCCTCCGGCTGAACCCCAGTCTGCTCAGGATCAGTTCTCCAGGTGGGGTGAGCCAAAGGGAAGTATACTTGTGCAGTTAGATGGGAAGTGGAACTAAATTTTAACACTTTTTGAAGTAGCAGCGTGGGGTCGTGGGGCCCGGGGTCTTTGTTGTGGTCAGTGAGAGTGTAAGTGACCTGTATGGCATTGGTTTCCTGTTTTACTTCTAGTTGTTTTCTGTTGTTGTTTTTTTTTTCTGTATGGAAAAGAAATAATTATAAATGCTACTATTATAAGTTTAGTACAATTTTTTACTTTTAAAGTGAGAGTAGTTTTTAAGAGATAATTTTTTTTGTGGACATGCCTTCTCAGTCAAATTGCATGCCCTCGATTTTTGAATAGAGACCATGTGTTAATGTGCCTCCCTTATCTCCATTTCAGCTTAGAAAGTCTGGCATATTTAATCATGACATGAACTGCATTGTTTTCAGGGCATTTTTTATTTGTTTACAGAATATGCAGCTGGTGTCTGATGGAGAATTCATATTTTGATCCTGATTTGTGAGGAAGGGGTTGCAGAAACTCGCACTGCACATCGCTTCCTCACCTTCCCCCTGCACCGTGTGGCTTTGGTCGCTTTGCTTGCCAGCTGTGCCGTTTTCTATGACCAAGACTGTTCATGTCTTAGGCCGCGTTCGCCGTGCCGCTCGTGCGGCTCTGTAGACATGGCTCTCACCTCCCGTCTGTGCTCATCACCTGCAGAAGCTCTACATTCTTGGAGGCGAGGTTGCTGAGTCTGCGCAGAAATGCACA